TGTTTGGGGAAGTGACCTGTGACCTGACCCCAAAACAAGGACCCTTGAGGTAATACCTTGTAGAACCAAGTTCTTGGCAGAATGAGGGAAGGCCCAGTTATGAGGGAGAGCTGTAGAACATGCCGTGGAAACCATAGAGAGTCTGGATTCTGTTTTCAGGGCAATAGGAAGCTGCTGAGGGAGTTCGAGCAGAGGAGGATCATGACGTATTTCTGGCCATAAACTGGAAAATGGATTGCACTGATTGAGTGCAGGAAGATCAATGGGAAGGTAACTGCATTAGCTCAAGCCTAATGCTGACTTGGCTCAAGGGATGTAGCTGCAGAAATAAGGAGGTATTTCAGAGACAGTCTCAGTGGGATTTGAAGACTGATCAGACAGGGGAGGAGAAACAGAAGAATCAAGGTCAGTTCAGACAGTTCACTGAGATCAGGCCACTGAGAAGCAGCAGTTTTGGCAGGTGGGAGGGAGAAGGGCTTTGGCAAGACTTTTAAGTTTGGTTTAAGATATACTGAGTCTAAGGTGCTTTTGTGAAATCCAGATGGAACTAGGGATAGGAATCCAGGCAGGTATCTGGGTAACAGGGATTTAGGGGGCACTGGCACATGGATGAATCTGAAGCTTGGGAATGAGAGCAGGCAGGACGGAGAAAGAGGGCCCCTAGCTTTGATGGAATGGGCAGAAGAGGGAAAGTTGGACAAAGGAGACCAAGTAGTGGTCAGACTGGCAGAATAACAGGAAAAGTTGGCGTTAAACCACATGGAGGATACTATATTACTTTACCAAATAGTCAGTGCCCTGCCCTGTGCCCACCTTTTGAACTCAGACACACCCAAGTGATTTGTTCTGGCCAGTAAAGTGCAAGCAACTTGATGTGTGTCACTTCTGGGCAAAAATGTGACAAGCCCAAGTGTAGCTCCTTGTTTCTGAGATCATACAAACATGTCAAGTCCCTTGGCTTGGGTCTCTAGGTGGCTTTGAGGCAGAAAGGGCTTGTCACTTGCAATGGGAATGTAACGTGAGAAATGAACTTCGTGGGAAGCAGAGCTGGCTCTGTGGATGTCGCACTCAGAAGGGCCCTGTGTTTGGTTTAATGCTCTGCTGTCCCCATCTTGAAATCCTCAGTAACTTTTTAACAGGGCTCTGCATTTTCATTTTGCAGTAAGCCCTGCAAATTATGTTGTTGGCCCTTGTAAGCCACTAAGATTTTCTAGGTCATGACTGCAGTCTAATCTACCCTATCCTAACCCACAAACCAAGAAAAGAGGGGCAGTTGAAAAGAGGACATGGAGGGCTGTCATGAGGTCAGGCCAAGAAAGCCTGAACACAGTGCCTGTACTCAGACAGAGGGTAATTCATTCAGGAAGTGTGGCTGTGAAGGAGAGAATGTGGAGGACACCAGAGGGAGCAGTGAGACAGACAGAGAGCTTTCTATTACCTGTGTCAAAGTGGGAAACATTTGGAAAGCTTTCGGTTTTATAGTGAAATGGTGTTTAGGGAAGCATAGCATAAAGATACAGGAGATAGGAAAAAGTCCACAGAGTAAGTCCCCTTAGAAGGGAGATAGCCAGGGACCCAGGGCACGAGTTGTTGAATGAGCACGTTATGTCCATTTGAACAGGAGGGAGGAGGAAATGAGGGTGCAGACGCAGGAAGGGCTGGTGAGAGTGCTCCCGCCTGATGCTTTCTGCTTTCGTCTGCAAGGTAGACATGAGGTCATTTGCTTAGAGTGTGAGGGGTCATTGAGGAGGGACAGAGTGGAGACTCTGAGACAGCTGCCATAGAACCCTGGAGTATAAACAGACCAGGCAACTGAGTCCCGGAGGTGAGGTGGACCCAGGTTGTGACCAGGAATCCGCTCTTGTGGGTGCTTTCCCTCCTGCAGATGAAACCAGACCCTCGGAAATGGTGGCTGGATCTTTCCAGTGATTCACCAGATGAGTGGGAAGAATGCAAAGAAATCTTCATTTCTTTGGCCAAGAACAGATCACCACCACCATAAATAATGGCAAGAGCTCAAACCTGAAACATTTGTTGACACTTTTATATGCACTCTGCAGTATTAACTCATTTACCTTCTCACACTGTGAGGAAGCACTGGAATCATCCCCATTTTACAAGGATAAGGCAGAGGGACTGGTAGAGAGGGTTCCAATAGTATGTACTATCTCGTAATTCAGTACTCATTCATATAAAACGGCTGGCAAAAAATTAGTGTTGTATGCTTTAATCTTTTAGCCTGAGAAGGCTTCACTGAACGTGCATTTCTTGAGCATCTATTACTCACCAAAGCTAAGAGGAGTTGCCAGCTGCTCCAGAGGGCTGCCGCCTCCTCTGTGCACTCTATCCCAACAGCTCCTTGGCCTGACATTCCCATCATTAGTCCATGGAGCAGGGCTTCCAATTCGAGAATCCCTGGGGGATCAATGAGCACATGATTTTTTTTTTTTTTTTTTTTTTTTGAGTCAGGGTCTTACTCCATTGCCCAGGCAACAGTGCAGTGGATTACAGTTCACTGCAGCCTTGCCCTCCTGGACTCAAGTGATCCTCCTGCCTCAGCCTCCTGAGTAGCTGAAACTACAGGTGCTCGCCACCATGCCTGGCTAATTTTTGTATTTTTTGTAGAGATAGGGTTTCACCATGTTGCCCAGACTGGTCTCAAACTCCTGGGCTCAAGTAATCCACCCACCTTGGCCTTCCAAAGTGCTGGGATTACAGGTGTGAGCCACCACACATGGCCAAAGCACATGAAATTGCATGCAAAGCTGTCATGCTTCAGTATTTGCAAGAGTTCCTAACCTGGAACAAGAGTAAGGATTAGCAGCAAACCAAGTGAGAGTTTCCAGGGAGACGGTGCAGCTTTTCCGTGGATACCTATGAATTCACTAGCTAGACGGTACTCTGAGCTCTTGAGGGGACAGCACAAGGTAAAGGGAAAGATCATTCCAAAGTAAAGGGTATCAGCTACAACCCAGGCAAAAGGCAAGGCTATTTCAGGCCCTCGGGAAACCTGAAGGATGGCACGAGCCGCCTCCAGACCCACGTTATGCTTTTCTTTTCCTTTGGGAAGGCACCGCTTGGAGCCATGAGGGTTTGAACAGATAAACTTCCCCTGTGGAAATTCTGGATGCAGGTTGGAAGGGCCTTGGGGACATGGCAGATTCAGACTTCTTGTTGCAAGTCTAGTTTAGGGAGCTGAAACAAGCAGTGCTCAAGGAAAACCACCCAAAGGAGAGCAGTGAGAGTGTCCTGGAAGCTCAAAGACTTGAATTTCCATCCCTACCCATGTGACCTAGGGCACGTTCCTGTCCCTCTCTTGACCTGTTTCCTTATCTACACACTGAGGGGCTGGAACTGGTAATCTTGAAAATCAATTTCTATCCTAACATGATTTGCTAGCCTGAGAGCAGGTGCTGACTGTTATCCTTGCCTGGTGCACTTCAAGTGTGGTCACACCAGCCTGGGCTGCAGAGGGCTTCCTGCTGTGGGGGAGGGGCTGCTCTACCTCTGCTCTGGTCTCTCCTCAGGATGGAGCCTGGGAATCTAAGCACAATGGGATGAACATCTGCTGGACAAGGATAGGGACAGAGACAGATCACTCTGACTCACCACCCTGCCACCAAACTAATGGCGAGTCCTTTTTCTTGGACCTGACAGAGCCACTAACCTTAGTGACTTGAGAGCTGCACTCCCTCAGCCCCTCCAGGCTTTTCTTGGTGCTGGCCACAAAAGCCCACACTGGGTGACATGCTGGGTTTATTCTGTGGTGGTTTTGGTAGTCCAACATCCATTCCCCTTCCTCCTGGGGAACCACAGCCTGGCCAGGTGCCCTCTAAGGCAGTGCCTATGGAGACGCCATCCACACTTCCTCCACCTCCACCTTCTTGTCAGTACTTACCTTTCCAATGAGTTGTTTTCACTACTTATTGGTGGTTTTCATTACTTACTGCCAAAAAATTCCTTTTAGAAGAGCTCTAGGTGATTGAATCTGGGTTCCAGCCCCTTTCTATACATCTCCAAAGAGCAGAGAAAAGCTCCTTAGTTTTCAGGGCCCACCTGGGCCTCTCTCCCAGGCAGAAGACAGAGGAGGGGAGAGGGAAAGAGAAGACTTCCAATTTTTCTCAGAAGCCTTGCCCACACCCATAAGGTGTGGTATGACTCTGTCCAGCAGAAGTCCTGAAACCAACCCAGGTGGCCCTGTTGCTCACTGGATGGTGCAGTGTAAACCTAGAGAAGGCTGGGGGCTGGTGGGAACCAAGGGAAGGAGAAGTCAACACCGGCCTACTCTCTACTACACACTGTGACACATACTTCATGTGCCATTTCAGACAAAAAAACTGAGGCCCGGCCGGGCACGGTGGCTCAAGCCTGTAATCCCAGCACTTTGGGAGGCCAAGGCGGGTGGATCACAAGGTCGAGAGATCGAGACCAACCAGGTCAACATGGTGAAACCCCATCTCTACTAAAAATACAAGAAATTAGCTGGGCGTGGTGGTGCGTGCCTGTAATCCCAGCTACTCAGGAGGCTGAGGCAGGAGAATTGCCTGAACCCAGGAGGCGGAGGTTGCGGTGAGCTGAGATCGCGCCATTGCACTCCAGCCTGGGTAACAAGAGCGAAACTCTGTCTCAAAAAAAAAAAAAAAAAAAAAAAAAAAAAAAAAACTGAGGCCCAAGTTTCTGAAATAGCCTGCTCAAGGTCTCATGGGTAGTAAGTAGTAGAGCCCAGATCTGATGCCCAAAGTTGTGTTTCTACTGCACCACACTGCTCCTTGGAATGACCACTGTGTCTTCCAGGATATGCTGGGGAAGACCAATGAGGTTTTTAACCTCTGAAAATGCCCCTACTCCCAAATTTACACCAAAATAAACTCTAAAAACGGTGCTGCTGCTTCTACACACTCCCTCAGGTTTGTACTAACAGTGGCTCTGGTCTAACAATTCTGTTGAGATCAGCATGTAGGAATCACAGTTCCAAGAAACGGAAACAGCTGATAAAAACATGAATGTCTCACACATTTTATTTGAATGAAGTGTTACATCTAGACTTCTCATTTCAGTGTACAAATAGCTCAGTGCAGTGTTTCTAATACAAGTCATATAAAACTGGAACACACTAAATGAATAGTGCACTTGATAGAAAAATAAATTACACTTTCAACGCTACTGCAGTTTTACACATATAAAAGGTAAACACAAAATAGTTAGTGAGGCCTTCATAACCACCTATCATATCCAGATAAGGAGATACAAAGGGCAAAGAGATCTGTGCTATAAAAAAAACTCTCTGTGAAAAGGATAAATCCTGACAAGTGATTGAAAGATCATCTCAAGTAATGTGGTGACACAGGGACTTACAGATCCTATCTTTTAGAATTGGGACGGAATCCCAGCACTACCAATGTGTTAACATAGCCGAGTTCAGCTCAGGGCAAATTTCTATAATTCAAACAAATTTTCTCATCCTGATGGCTAATATACAGGAAAAGTTCCCAACTATCTTCTGATCACTCAAGAACTAGTGTTTAAATTTTTGAGAGGATAAAAAAGACAAATAATATAGAAATGTGTACTTTTCAGTCTGCAGATGACCCCAGATTTCCAAGCAACTACATGACCATGGGCATGATTAATTAAAAATTGGTGGGAACTCAGAAAGACTCAGAGCGGAGACACCCACAACAGCACCTTGTTCAGCTGCCACATGTGTAAATAAGGATGCAACGTCCAGAAGTGCTGGCTGCCTTCTAGTGACAGGTAATGCTCAGAACCTATCTGAATACCTGCCTGCCTCCCACTTCACGCAGCCACTCTACTGCTCTACAAAGCTTCTTATCAGAGGTCAGCAGCGGCTTTGTAAAGGAAACTCCGCAGGAACACAGCTGTGCTGGAGCTGCTGCTGTGCTGTGCCAGCAGAGCTGAGTGGTACAGTATTTACCATCTGTGGTCTTTTAGAGAATAAGACTGCTGACTCCTCTCAATGACAAGACAAAAACTCTGCTTCTCGAGACTCTTACTTGGAAAAATAGCAAAGATTTTCCTCTCTGTGACTGACAAATAATTCCACTAGCCAGATTTCTGAAGGAGTAACAGAACTTTCATTTTGGGGCTTAGCTAAGAGAGGAGGTACAAGTTTTAGCCAGAAGTGAGAAGCATAAGAGAACAAGCAGTCCAGATCCAAGAACCCAAGAATAATGCAGGGCTTTCACCTTTCAATGTCCGTAGGATATCTGTGACTGTACAACGGCAAAGGCTAGAGACAAATGTTAGGAGACTATAAGAAATAGTTTTAAACTTTTTTTCTTAAAAGATGTGTAAGTGTTAAGGAAATAAGCACACAGGGAACGGAATCATTCCTCTGTTTAGCAGTGTCTCCTGAAGAGCAGGAATGAAATGATCATGACCTCCTGTATGTCCAAAGGTGATGCAATTGACATGTCACAAATTTGGTCTCACTGATTAACTTACAAGATCTCAGGCAAAGTCTAGAGCAGACAACTGAAGCCTTCACTTCTTATTTTAAACCACCCTATCAACTCCCGCTTCCCCCACCAGGGCTAGGAAATGGGCTGAGTTGAGGTTCCTCTCCTGTCTGCACCCAGGGAGGCAGCACTATCTGTACCCTCTACCCCAACTGTGCTCTGAGCAGTGCACACAGCAAACTGTCAGGAGTGCTCCTGGCTGCCCCTCCTCCGACCTCAGCCCAATGTCACCAGCCTGCTTCTCACCATCATCTCCAATCTCTCTCTTTGCCAGCATCCTTGATGGGTTCACACATGCTTCTCTCTTCTCAAGAGACGGATATCTCCCCTTCCCTACCTGCCACATTCACAGACCTCCTAAGCCCTGCCTCTCCCCACCACACTGTTCTCAGGGGAGCAGAACAGGAAGAGCTGTTAAGCAGCTCTGGGCATGGCAGCAGCAGCAGCTACGACAGGAAACCAGTACTTGACAGGCATCTAATCTGTCAGAGCCAATTCAGCATTCAAGTATTAACTTCCGTGTTTACCATTTTATGTCAGGGCATAAGACAAAATCTCCTCTTGGCTTGAGATTCAAGTGAATTTTAACAAAGTCCCTACCAATATTCTAACTGTCAAGAATATGGGTATGCAAAGACATAAAGGTCACAGAATATGTCCAACTACCTAATTCCTAAATTTTAGGAAGTTTAAAATAAGGATGTTGTGTGGTTAGCAGCACAACCATAACCCTGCAGGAAATCTAAGTTGTCAAGACACTGAAAACTTGATGCCCATTCCATCATGTCCTGAGTCAAGCCCTTAGTTCTAGGTATCCCTTACAGCTTTGAGAAAATATGTCCTATAGTTGAGAACTGGCAAGAGCCCCACTAATGAAACTTAGAAGCTTAGCATAATGGCTAAGGGGAAGTGGCCAGCAAGAAGTGTTGACTTTCCTTCTGCAAAAATGTTTTGTGCAAAAGTGGGTTCCAATCACTACAGCTCCCTGGGAAACAGAGCAAGATTAAAATTCCTGAGCTTTCCAGTCGGACACTAGTGGGTTTGCCTAGGCACACCATTATGTTACAAGGAGCCCAGGAAAGTCCAAATCATGAAGTTTTAAAGATCATAAGACTGGATGTTCTTTCATGATAAGCAGTACAAATTTGTGCTGAATTATTTACATATTGCAGGACAGAAAACTAGAAAGCAAATTCCAGAAGGTATAGCTTAACATCAGTTCTCCATAACCAGGGATTAACAACGACTTTACCAATATGGTTTCCACATCATCCTTATTCCCCATGGCAACTGAGGTTTACCTGTTCATTCAAAAATTATAAAGCTAAATAGTGTTATTTCTGGGCATCAGAATTATAGATGGACATTGCTATACTTTAATTTTTCTGATGAGTGTATGTTATTTTAACATCCAGAATTTCTTTGTACAGGCCAAAAGGGATGGGGAAATTCTAGAGCTCTCTTTTAAATTAACAGAATTCCTTTGCAATGCAAGCTCTTTTAGTATGCTGTGTAGAGTTTCATACATGGTAAGTATTTAAGAAACAACACCCCATCACCCCTGTTCCTATTCCCTATTTTGGTTCTGGTGAATTTGTTGTAATTTTTTTTCCAGTTTGAAAGCTCTAAATTTGTTCAGTTTATACTGAAAGTAAATGAAATCTATGTCCAAATAGGTTCCAATGTGGAGTACTGCTGTGCTGTGTCTTCATTACCTGAGCCTACAGGGGTCTGCATTCCCTACCTGGCTCAGGGAAGAGGGTAGATGCCTGGGGTAAATGCCCCAGGGTCTCTTCAACAGTAACCTACCCCGATTCCAGGTTGAAAAGTTACAGAATCGTGTGTGGTGCATATGAGTGCTTCCTGTGGAAAGGCAGGTTGAAAAGATACAACAAGATTTTATTTGATTTCTCTGCAGTTCTTCTCAGGGTTTATCTTGATGTGAACTTGAAATATTAAGATAGCCAACACAATAAAAAATCAAAACAATGGAAGACATTTAAAAACTCTCTATATTCTAAACTAAACTTCTCTTTAGTGTTATAATTTTTTTTTTTTAAAGTTGGCCCTAAGTCTGCCTTTATAGTGTCCACATTAATTTCCTAAATTCTTTATTTCTAGGTATGTTAGGGAAAAGTGCAATTTCTCTAACAGGCAGTCAGATCAAAGATCCTCACCGTGATACTACATGGAAATAGCTTTCAAAAGGCTGTTGACTACCAGAGGCAGCCTTGTTATAAAGTCATTATGAACAATTAGAACCGCTAGGTGGAGCCAAGAGTTTGAAGGAAACCCCAGAAAAAGAAATTCCCTTGTTTTGGGAATTCATAACTTTTATAAAAGTACAGAAAGTTAAAGATCAAACACCCTCATTTGGGCAGCTATCAGCTATCCAGTGTAATTAAACCCTTCCAGTTGGACGGAAAATACAGCTGTCTTTTTTACGGAGTCGAAGTCAAATCTACATAGAGTCTTTCTTTACCTACAAGTAATGGACAAGCTCCTGAATCCAACATATTCTAGCTGAAATGGATCCCAGGATGGAATGCTGGAGAGAACTGGGTATTCCAGCTATGGGCCCTTAGAGCTCAGTGGTCAGTAAACACTTCTGCTTCAGGACAGCTTCTTCTGCCAGAGTGGGAGCAGAGCTGAAAGGAAGAGAGAATGGGTTATTCAATGGAATCCCTGGGGTTTGGGAGAGGACATTCATGTCTCTATTAGTGCCTCATAGAGCATTTTGAGGGGAGAGCAGATTACAGACCCAAATCAATAAAGCCTAACCTGGCAATGAGATATTCCACAGAAAGGAAATTTCTGGATAAGCACTGCTTATTTCATTTTGAAATAAAATATAAAGATAGCACAATTTCCCCTTCTTCTTTAACAAATATGCCAAACACATATTCAACCATTTCTTAATGAGTCAGGGTTAGAGTAAGTGTCAAGAATAGCACTGTGCTGAGTACAAGGGCAACCCCCTCAGGAGAAACCAAGGGCAGCAGGTTGTTGTTCTCTGCTGCTTTTTCTCCCTTTCTGTTTATTTTTTGTGAGACGGGGTCTTGCTCTGTTGCCCAGGCTGGAGTACAGCAGCGTGATCACAGCTCACCGCAGCCTTGACAGCCCAGGCTCAAACGATCCTTCCATCTCAACCTCCCAAAAGTGGCCGAGACTACAGGCCTGTGCCACTAAGCCCAGCTAATTTTTGTTATTTTTTTTAATTTTATTTTTTTTTGTAGAGACGGGGTTTCACCATATTGCCCAGGCTGGTCTCGAACTCCTGGACTCAAGCCACCTGCACTCCTCAGCTTCCCAAAGTGCTGGGATTACATGGGTGAGCCACTGTGCCCAGCCCTGTTTTTCTTCACATATTACTAGATGGCTGTGTTTGTGTTCCTACACCAGTTACTCTATTTTGTTAGAGCTCTGTGAAAAATAAAAAGCCATGGGCTCTGCATGAGAGCTCATAAGTTTCCATAATCAGTGAACTGTGTGAGTTTAGATGCAAGGACATAATGATATCTAATTTGGTTTCAAAAAAACTTAAAACAGTCTGGGCAAGGGTGGCTCACGTCTGTAATCCCAGCACTTAGGGAGATGGGAGAATTGACTGAGACCCGGAGTTCGGGACCAGTCTGGGCAACAAAGTGAGACTACGTATTTACAAAAAACAAAAATATGGGGGCCAGGTGTGGTGGCTCACACCTATAATCCCCCAGCACTTTGGGAGGCCAAGGAGGGAGAATCACTTGAACCCTGAAGTGGAGGTTGCAGTGAGCTAAGATCATGCCACTACACTCCAGCCTGGGCCATAGAGTGAGACCCTGTCTCTAAATAAATAAATAGTGAGACCCCATCTCGAAATACATACATACATACATACATACATACATACATACATACATATATATGCACACCAGGTGAGGTGGTATGTGCCTGTAGTCCCAGCTACTCAGGAGGCTGAGGCAGGAGAATCACTCGAACCCGAGAGGCAGAGGTGGCAGTGAGCCGACATCACACCACTGCACTCTAGCCTGGGCCACAGAGTGAGACCCTGTCTCTAAATAAATAAATAGAGAGACCCCATCTTGAAATACATACATACATACATACATACATACATACATATATATGCGCACCAGGTGAGGTGGTATGTGCCTGTAGTCCCACCTACTCAGGAAGCTGATGCAGGAAGGTTGTTTGAGCCCAAGAGTTGGAGGTTGCAGTGAGCTATGATCATAACACTGCACTCCAGCCCAGGTGATGGGGAGAGATACTGACTCTAAAACAATTTTTTAAAATGTAAAACGATATCAAAGTTCATAATAAAAAGGGCATAATTTAAAATGTCAAAAGTGCTAACAAGATTTATAAATGAAACAGCAGTCACCCGTACCACCACTCTCTATTCCTACTTCAAGGGACAAACACTTTCAACTGGTTCTTTTCCTGGTATTTTCCTTCATTTCTCTGTATCCCTGGTTCTCAAAGTGTGGTCTCCAGAATTTGTGAGAATTCAACTTCTTAGACCCCACCCCAGATATACTGAATCAGACTATGAGGGTGGGGCCCAGTAGCCAATGTTTAAATAAACCTGGCTCCAGAGATTCTGCCTCACAACTCCCCAGGGTTCTAACTGTTCTGGGTGATGTGTTTGTTTACACGATTTTCTTCTATGGACTATGAAGGCTTACCTTTCTTCCATCCTGTTCCCAGCCCCACAATCCTGCCTTCTTATCTTTTCAGCACAGCTATACAACCAATTTTGATCATGTTAAAATTCAGTGTTTGTTGTAATTATTAAATATTTTCACAACTATCAGTGTATTGTATTTCGTATTTTATACAACTTTAATTTTCCCTGGACTGACTAGCTGCCTTATTTTTGTTGTCGTTGTGATGGCTTAGTGGGTTTATTTTGTTGTTGTTTTTAGAATCGAGGCCTCGACATGTTGCCTATGCTGGTCTTGAACTTTGTCTTAAGCAATCTTCTTGCCTCAGCTTCCTGAGTACTTACTCAGTTTTCTATACTAATCTCTCATCTATCCCTAACCTCTCTGGTAAACCATGGATCTCCTCTCAGTGCATTCAGACATGTAATATGATTAAAAACTGGAGGGCTGGGAAGCCTATTTGTATTTTTTCTTCCTGCAACTCTATATTCTCCTTTTCGAATCTGGACAGGATCCTTTCTAGACCCATTGGGCAGCTACCATCTCAGAACTTCCCTTCACCTTTCCCTGGGTAAATCTCTGCACCTCTCTACTGCTTCCTGGGTCCCATGGCTTCTTTTTTGGATAAAAAAGAGAAATGTATCTTCCACTTTAGATGGAATAAATCTTCCAGTAGCTTCCTGAGGAAGGCTACATGAAAAGTATATATTTTAGGGAAACCGTATGTCTAAAAATGTATTGTAATCTCACACTTCACTGATAGTTTTTCTGGGAAAACTCTAGGTGAGAAATTAGAATTCCAGAATTCAGAAAGCACACTGCTCCATTATCTCCAGCTGTCAGTAAAGTCTGCTACCATTCTAATTACCAATCCTTTGTATGTACTCTGTTTTTTCCCTTTGCAGGAGACTTACATCGTCTCTTAACTTTGACCTCCTAAAGATTCATGATGCCCCTTGCTGCAGTCTATTTTCATTCTCTTTGGTGGGTACTCAGTAAACCCCTTTAATCTAGAAACTCAAGTCCTCTGTTCTAACAGCTCTTGATTCCTTTGATAATTTCCTCCTTCCACCAACTCTGTTCTTTCTAGATCTCGTCTGATTCATATATTAGACTTCCTAGACCAATCCTTCCATTTACTTTTCTCTCCCAGTTTTCTTTTTTTTATTCTACTTTTTGGGAGATTGTCTCAATTTTACCTTTCACATACTCTTCGGATTTTACTTTTAATATGGTTAATAATTTCTAAAAATGCTTCCTTGTGTTTTCTTAAGTTTCCTGTTGTTGTTGCATGGATACAGCATCTTCTCTCTAAATGTATACACTATCATTTTGTGAAGTTTCCTTTTGTTATTCACATTGCCTTTTTTTCCTACTTCTGTTTGTCAACATTTGCATTGCCTTTATTTCCTTGTTTTTCAGTTTACCTGTGTTGGTCTTTCCTCACATATCTGACAATAATTAGCTCTTTTGTATTTAAGAGAAAAGCTCTGGAATGTGTTTGGGACCTGCGTACATATGAGCAAAACTCATCAACGAATGGGCTCCCTCGTGATTATTTGGCAGATTCCAGGCAATTCCATCACAGGATCCACAAATGTATGTGTCGGCCTTTTCTCTTTGGTTGGCTGATGTCTCCAGAGAGTAAGCCTCTTACTTTTTCAACTCAGACATTTATACTTAGTTAACAGCATTTCCGAAACTGAGAAAAGAAGGAATGTTGGAAATTTCACCCTTCAGTCTATGGACTTTCAGTTCGTCTTCCTGTATTTATTCTGGAGCCTTACTCCAAGTGGAAATTTCCAGATCCAGAGCCTCTCTGGCCTGGCTCGTCCCGAGGGAAAACTTCCAAATTATGCTAGAATGGGCAAGGGTGGTGGGATGGCAGACAGGCGAAATGGCAGACAGGTGAAATGGGCATAAAAACTTTCAACCAATCCCCATATTCTCAGTCCCACCTAGTACCCTATCTTTACAAGTATCTGGCACCTCCAATTCCATTGCCTTTTCAGGTTCTGCATTGTGAACTTGCTTCCTTTTTCTGTTTCTACTCCCTTCCCTGTTCAGGCTTAGCTTTTACGGTACTCCACTCTGCTAAACTGGTTACCACTTATCATTCAGCTACTTCCCAAAACTTGCAGAGATCTCTTAACTGCTGATGTCTCCTCTCCTTTTCTTTGTCCTCATGATTTGATGTCTTTGAAACACAGCATCACACAGAGAACACTCTGAAGTAAATCTAATTCTGTGGAAATGGGACCCAGTCATCACTGTAAAATATTACTATTAATATCCATATATTAAAGCGCATAAGGCATGAGTTTACAGCTTGACAAGTTTTTGCAAATTGGACACACCTGTTATCAGCATGTAGAATATGAAACAGAACACTACCAGCACTCCCAAAGCCTCTTTTGGGCTATCTTCCAGTCACTAGCCGCATCAAGGGTAACCATTATAGAGCTGTGCTTTTGTTTGAACTTGATTTTGCTTATCCTTATTACAGTGGAGAAACTCTAAGACGACCCCAAAGATCTCCATCTCCAGCTGTTCACTCTGGCTCTTGAGTGTGGAAGGGACTTGTGACTTGCTTTAACCACCAACAGAATACAGCAAAGATAAAAGGATGTCATTTCTGTAATTAGACTACACAAGACTGTGATTTCTGTCTTTCTAGCTGACTCCACTGCTTTCTCAGTTTTATGCTGGAATAAAGTAAGCAACTACTTTGGAGAGGCCTACATGGTAAGCACTGAGAAAAGCTTCTTGCCAACCACCAGCTAGGAACTGAGTTCCTTAGTCTAGCAGATCTTCAGATCCTGACTCCTGCCAAGCGCAATGGTTGGTGTCCTTTCTTCCATTGAGCCTTCAGATGAAAACCTGGCGTGTGCCATTATTTGACCGTAGCCTGTCAGAGACCCTGAAGCAGAGAACCCAGCTCAGCTATGTCCAGACTCCTGAGCCACAGAAAATTAGATAAACATGTATTGTTTGAAGCTGCTATGTTTGTGGTAAGCTGTTGCACAGAAATAGAGAATTAATACAATTATGTTTATGTGATTCATCTATACTGCTATATTTTAGTTGTAGTTATTAATTTTCCCCGCTCTTTTCCAATATTTATCTAGTTGACTGCTAATGTGCAGTTGGAAAGTTTTTGGTTTGGACTATTATGAATATAGCTGCTATAAAAATTCTTGTACATGTCTTTTGATGGACATATATTCATATTTCCATTGGGTATGTACATACAAATAGAATCACTGATTCACTGAATATGTTCAGCTATTTTTTTTTTTTTTTGAGACGGAGTTTCGCTCTTGTTACCCAGGCTGGAGTGCAATGGCGCGATCTCGGCTCACCGCAACCTCCGCCTCCTGGGTTCAGGCAATTCTCCTGCCTCAGCCTCCTGAGTAGCTGGGATTACAGGCACGCGCCACCATGCCCAGCTAATTTTTTGTATTTTTAGTAGAGACGGGGTTTCACCATGTTGACCGGGATGGTCTCGATCTCTTGACCTCGTGATCCACCTGCCTCGGCCTCCCAAAGTGCTGGGATTACAGGCTGAGCCACCGCGCCCGGCTGAATATGTTCAGCTTTAGTCAATATTGCCAAACCTATTTCCAATGTGATTACTCCAATTTACAGAATTTCAGTTGCTCCATATCTGCACCAATACTTGGTACTATGCATCTTTCATTTTAGCCATTCTGGTGATATGTAGCACTGTCACATGGCAGTTTGAATTTGCATTCCACAAGGACTAATCAAGTTGCACATTGTCTAGAATGCTTACTGGCCATTTGAATATCTTTTTGTGAACTACCTATTCAAGTTTTTCACCCATTTTTCTATTAAGCTGTCTTTATCTTACTGTTTGGAGGAGCTCTTTATAAATTCTAGATATGAGCAGGTCCTTTGTGACACAGATAAGACCGGGGTTGGGAAGGAAGAAGAGGAGGAGTGAGACAGGAAAAGAATGAGCAAAACAGTGACAGGGAGGGAGAGAGAGACAGAGGGATGGGGAACAAATGTTTTCTCCTATTCTGTGGCTTCCCTTTCCGTAACATCTTGAAATTATAATCTTTAGATGAACAAAATTTCTTGATATAACACAAGTGATTTTTTTCCTGTAGGACTAAAGGTCCTTGTGAGCTGTTTCAAAAATCTTTGCCTATTCTAAGGTCACAAGTAAGTTCACTCATCTGTAAGTTTATTATCTGATGTTTCATATTTAGATCTGCAATCCAACCGGAATGGATTTTTGCAAATGGTACGGAGTTGGATCAAGATTAATTTTTTCCCACCGGGACAACTAATCTGTCCAGATGATTTACTAAAAGACCACTTTCTCCTCATAGCATTGCACCATCACTTTTTTCATAAATCAGATAACTACTACATATGAGTTTCTTTCTAGACTCTATTCTGTTCTACTGATTTATTTGTAGTTTTTGGTCTCTTTAAGCCCTTTATGACTCCTTTGCATGAGTTCTAGGAAGAAACAGAGATAAACTCTGCTTTCATCTGTAATTTTTAATTTGGAAGTACTTAAGAACTCACATTTTATTGTGTAAATTCAATTATAAAGCATTACCATTGGGTTCTTTGTATGCAGCTCTATTCTTACAGTGGTAATTACTAGGCATATAAATGCTTAGAAAAATAATCCATTACATTTGTATAAAGTGCTCTTTTACTAGATGTAAGCCTCCCAAATGCAGGTCTCTCAGCTGTCTTGTTCACTGCTATCTTCAGTGTCAGATATAGTCAATGTCTGGTACATCACAGACATTCAATAACTGTTTGCTGAGTGAATAATGTACTACTTTAAACACTGTGGAGACTAGAACAATTTTAAATTAAACTGATTCTTTCAAATTAATGATCTCTAATAATTCCCCCCACCTTTCTCTCTTTAATTAGGCAAGCATGTATTTCAGCTGACCCACATTTTCAACACCAGGAGGATATATGAAATGGCAGATATAATCAGAGAAAAGGTCTGAGGTAGGAGTGAAGGCAATTCTAAATCTTTTGCAAAACAGGTGCAGTTATGGTTCTAGCAATCAAAAGCTGAAGAACGAGCTGCTGAACCAAAAGCTCTAGATTTGGAGTCTAGTTTCTGTTTGTAGTAAGTAATGCATTGAAATGAGCTCACAACAGGGGTGAGTAAAAGCCATCTCAGGACCCTCACCTTGGGAGTATCCTACCTCACCTTTACACTGCACCTCTTCACCTATGTTGACAGGCACTACTGTTCATCATATTACAATAGGCATAATCACAATAGTAAAGCATCAAAGGAAACAATACAAATTGACTTTAAAACAAATATTAAAATTTAAAGATAAGCCTGTTAATATCTTTACCTAGCGAAGACTTGATAAAGAATCCCTAATACAATCTACTTCATAATTTTGTAGAAAATTGCTATTGACAAGAAAAAGCCACTACACTAAATAACAAACAGAAAAAAGACTTATCCAATTTCAACAAAGTTCAATTAAGGAAGAATTGACATTGCTGCTTTAGAGAAAGTTTTATCATTTTTTCCCTCCTAATAGATGCCTAAGAACTGCAACTGAGAAATCATTTTCTCACCTGGTCACAGCATCTACCAAGAATGGCGCTGGGGGAGAGATCAGTGAGATTCCATCTTTACTACCATGGCCCTCCTTTCCCGCCAAGGGTGTTTCATGTCCTGCAAGTCCATTAGACATGGCACCACTCTGCTGTGGGAGATACACAACACATCTAAATACAGAGGCAACAATACCTGCCCAGTCAGCACTTCAGCTCCAAATCAAGCTTCACTAATGACTATGAGAGTAAGGAAGATGGTTTTGATAATTATGATTGTTCTGTTTTGTTAACTATCCTTCATCTCAGATTTTTACTTTGTTTCTGCCAGCATCCTGACAAACATTTATAACCAGAAAGGGTAAGCCACTAGCTTGAAGCCATTAAGTTCAGTTAATAAGGGTTTGATAACAACCCTCATGTTTTTAAGGAAAAACAGAGAACCTAGTAATCCTTTAGGCCTTACCCTGAGAGGGTAACCAGAAGAAAAATCACAAATAACATGAACTTACCGGAATAATCCATCGGGGTGTGATCATGGACGTGGAAGATACCTAAAATAATTTTATGTATGTAATTACTTCTTGGAAAGACTGACTTATTTTCATACTTACAATACTCGTATCTATTATGAAATCCATTGTAGGAGGGCAATTCTTAATTCTTAGTGGTGGTCCTTGAGCTGACATGGACTTCTAAATCCAAGACCCTTTTCTATTGTACAACACAGATGTTATCCCTCACCCCTTAAGAAAGTGTCATAATTTTGAAAATCACTTATCTAAAAATTCACCATTCAAGAATCTATTGTACTTTCAGTTTACTTAATAGGACTGCCCCAACCCCACATCCAGTATTCAGTTTAACATTTTATTTTCTGAAATTTCAGTTAATTACAAATAATCATAGCCTTCTCGGTAGCAGCCTGAACAATGGATTGTGACTAATTCAAATAAACAACACAAAGAAAGTACACAGAAAATTAATCTGTTCAGATACAGATCATTCTCTAATTATCATGTATGCATGGAGAAAGCGGCAATAAAAACACCCATATTGCTCCTGGTTCACAAGGCCATTGATATATTATTTTTAAATGTTTAGCTTTCTATTATAGATATGACTTCTATGTATAGAATTATAGCCAGGCGCGGTGGCTCAAGCCTGTAATCCCAGCACTTTGGGAGGCCGAGGCGGGTGGATCACAAGGTCAAGAGATCGAGACCATCCTGGTCAACATGGTGAAACCCCGTCTCCACTAAAAGTACAAAAAATTAGCTGGGCATGGTGGTGCGTGCCTGCAATCCCAGCTACTCAGGAGGCTGAGGCAGGAGAATTGCCTGAACCCAGGAGGCGGAGGTTGCGCGGTGAGCCGAGATGGCGCCATTGCACTCCAGCCTGAGTAACAAGAGTGAAACTCCGTCTCAAAAAAAAAAAAAAAAAAGAATTATAAACTAATGAAACCCACCCATTTTAACTAGTAATTTAGACTAGTCTTTGCATTGGTGGCCTTAGATACTCATAAAAAAATTAATATAAGTCTAGGTCTTAATAAGTTAGATAACCATCAAAAGGATAAAAACATAGGCTGGGTGCAGTGGCTCATGCCTGTAATCCCAGCACTTTGGGTGGCTAAGGTGGGCAGATCATGAGGTCAATAGATAGAGACCATTCTGGCCAACATGGTGAAACCCTGTCTCTACTAAAAATACAAAAATTAGCTGGGTGTGGTGGTGCGCTTGTAGTCCCAGCTTCTCAGAGGCTGAGGCAGGAGAATTGCGTGAACCTGGGAGGTGGAGGTTGCAGTGAGCCGGTATCCTGCCATTGCACTCCAGCCTGGCAACAGAGTGAGACTCTATCTCAAAAAACAAAAACAAAGTATGACTTTCCTAGCAATATTTTTTAAATGCATGTTAACCAGTAGGAAATAACAGAGGAAAAATATCATAAATAGTAAACAAAAAATAGTTTGACAGACTTTTCCAGACTCACAGTCAATTCTTATTCTTTTGGTAAAGTCTTTGTTTATTAATCTAAGCCGGCCATTCCCAAAGGGTGGTTCCCAGACCACATCTGCATCACCTGGGAATGTGTTAGGAACACAACTTTTCAGACCCCACCCAAGACATACCAAAATTAGAAACTTGGAGGTGAGGCTAAGCAATCTTGTATTTTAACACCCCCTTCAAGTGATTCTGATATACACAAAAATTTGAGAATTAATGATCTAAGCAAACATCCAGTACCATAGAAAGTACCATCTGTATTTCCAAGCTTCAGGATGGCATCTAGCTCCCATAGCAATTCTTGTCATAACACTCATAAGGTACAAAGTTAGTCTTTTTTTTTTGGGGGGGGGTCAGAGTCTCACTCTGTTGCCCAGGCTGGAGTGTGGTAGCACAATCTTAGCTCACTGCAACCACCACCTCCCAGGTTCCAGCAATTCTCTTGCCTCAGCCTCCTAAGTAGCTGGGTCTACAGGCATGTACCACCAGAAGCCCGGCTAATTTTTGTATCTTTAGTAGAGACAGGGTTTCTCCATGTTGGCCAAGCTGGTCTCGAACTACTGACTTCAGGTGATCTTCCTGCCTTGGCCTCTCAAAGTGCTGGGATTACAGGCGTGAGCCACCGCACCTGACAAAGTTAGTCATTTCTATCTCTCTCATCCCTGGAGGGAAGGAACTGTTTCAGTTGGCTCTCCGTATTCATGAGTTCTGCATCTGTGGATTCAACCAACTGTGGATTGAAAATATTTGGGAGAAAAAAGAATGGCTGTGTCTGTACTGAACATGCGCAGACTTTTTTTTGTCATTATTTCCTAAACAATACAGTATAATAACTATTTACTCGCATTTATACTGTATTAGATGTCAGAGGTAATCTAGAGATGATTTAAAGTATACTAGAGGATGTGCGTAGGTTATATGCAAACACTACATCATTTTATATAAGAGATTTAAGCATGTGTGGATTTTGGTATGTGAGGGGAGTCCTGAAACTAATACCCCACAGATACTGAGGGACAGCTATACTTAAAACAGTATCTTCCAGACCATAATAATGACTGATATGTTCAATGCCAGTCACTCTTATGCTCTCATCTTTCTGTAAAACTTTTTAAAAAATTAAATATATTCTTATTAAGAAGCTGGTTTATCCCCATGTTTTCTCATGTTATTTAATAAGATGTTCAATCATAAATGGGCTTATAATGACATCTGATTTCTATATAGTGAAACAAATTCAAAGTGGTAAAATTTTAGGAAAGAGAGGTAATGCTAAGTGGTTATTAAAACATAAACTTATCAGATAAAAAGTTTAACTATGAATAATTAAAAAGGAAAAAACTGCAATCTAGCAGGAACATTTTCAAAACAGAAATTTCTTTCCATCATACTGTTTTAAAGCATATTTACCTGAGGTGGAACTGTGTGATCCATTAGATTCTCAGTTAGAGATGCAAGCAAGGCATCCAATTCATCTGTAGCTTCCTATGGAAGACAGGAATCTAGAGTTATCATCATCATCAGATGTAAGTTTATCATCAGACTTAAGTTTTTTCCATATCCTCTCAATTTATAATTCTAACCCAGGCCTGATTTGTGTTAATCCTTTAAACACATAGGGACACTCATGAATCCTGGTTGTTAATGATCTCACTACTGCACGGAGGAAAACCTATACTACAATCAGGATGTGAAAAAGCTAAAGTGCTATGTAAATTTTCAAATAGCTATTCTCCTTTAGTAAGACAAAACTTGGGAAGGGTTATGACTGTTTTGGCTCATAACTTTTACTTTTTAATTACAAAATTTCTTTTTTTAGCTGGGTGCAGTGGCTCACACCTGTAATCGAAGCACTCTGAGAGGCCAAGGCAGGAGGATCTCTTGAACCCAGGAGCTCAAGATCAGCCTGGGCAATATAATGAGACCTCATCTTTACAAAAACCCGAACAAAACTAGCCAGGCACAGTGGCATCCACCTGTAGTCCCAGCTACTCAGGAAGCTGAGGTGGGAAGATCACTTGAGCCCAGGAGGTAGAGGGTGCAGTGAGCCAAGACTGCACCACTGCACTCCAGCCTGGGTGACAGAGCAAGATTCTGCCTCAAAACAAATTTTAAAAAAGGAAATACAATACAATAAAATAATTAAAAAACATTTTTTTTTGAGACAAGGTCTTGCTCTGTCTAGGCTGGAGTACAGTGGCACAAGCATGACTCCTGGGCCAAAGCAATCCTCCCATCTCAGCCTCCCAAGTAGCTGAGACTACAGGTATGCACCACCACGCCTGGCCAATTTCTTTTTTGTTTTATAGAGAAAGGGTCTCATTTATGTTGCTCAGGTTGGTCTTGAACTTCTGGCCTCCAATGATTCTTCTACTTTGGCCTCCCAAAGCGCTGGGATTACAAGTGTGAGCCACTGCCTAGCCCTTTAACTTTTAGAACAGATGAGAATAGTACTACTTTGCATGATAATATCATAATTTGAACTTAAAAAACAAACAAACAAACAATAAAAGGTTCCGCACAGGAGATAGTGAATAAAGGAGATGCCTAAATTCCAAATGCTCCTTCATCTAGACTTATGGGTGCTTCTGTTTGTAAAAGAAAACAATATGAACTCTCTCCCTTTAAATGTTAATTGATGTTTAACTAGTATTTGAAGTATCTTATAGAGGACAGAACTCTTTACTGTGAGGGAGATGGTCTGGGAGAACTTTAAAACAACAAAACATAAAATGCCAATCTGGCAATAAACAATAGGAACCTAGGGCATAGCCCACAACAAAACAGGACCCTTCATTCATACATTTATTTCTTTTCTTTCTTGGTTTTTTTTGTTTGTTTGTTTGTTTGGTTTTTTTTTTGGACATAGCCTTGCTCTGTCACCTAGGCTGGAAGGCAATGGTACAATCATTAGCTTAGTGCAGCCTCAATTTCCTGAGCTTAAAATCCTCCCACATCAGCTCCCTGAGAAGATAGGACTACAGGCATGCAAAACTATGTCTGGCTAATTAAAAAAAATTTTTTATAGATATGGGGTCTCCCTATGTTGCCCATTCTGGTCTCAAACTCTTAACCTCAAGCCATCTTACTGCTTTGGCCCAAAGTGCTGGGATTATAAGCATAAGCCACCACACTCAGCCACCCATTTATACATTTCCATTTCTGTCTATATGCCTTCAGGTCTTGGGGGATCTCCTATTCATATTTCAACATGCAACTTAATTTAAATCACAAAAGCATGAAAAAAATTGTTCTCTCCTCTCACGTCTTCCCACTCTGCTGCCTGGACTAAGTGCACCGTAACAGCTTGCGCAAGTCTCTCCCACAATGTATGACAATTCTCTCTCCCATTAGACTATATGCAGTTAAGCTGAGACCATGTTTCATTCATTCATTTTTGAATCTTCAGTGCTTAACATGTTGTCTCATACATATTATATATGCAATAAATATTTGAACTAAATGTCCTTCTCTGCTTTAAAAACATCTCAGGTTCTCCTTAATGACTTCCAATGATTAGTCAACGTATCTTTTCAGATTTTAATCAGCAGAAAAGAAATGCCTCATTGAAGATATTTCAGGTTGGATTTTTTCCTTAAGCCTAAACATCTGAAAGATACTTATATACCGGCTGCGTGTGGTGGCTCACGCCCGTAATCCCAGCACTTTGGGAGGCCAAGGTGGGTGGAACACAAGGTTAGAAGTTTGGGACCAGCCTGACCAACATGGTGAAACCCTGTCTCTACTAAAAATACAAAAATTAGCCAGGCATGGTGGCGGATGCCTGTAATCCCAGCTACTTGGGAGGCTGAGGCAGGAGAACTACTTGAACCTGGGAGGTGGAGGTTGCTGTGAGCCAAGATCAAGCCACTGCATTCCAGCCTGGGTAACAGAGTGAGACTCTGTCTCAAAAAAAAAAAAGAAAGATACTTATATACCTAAATACCAACTATATACTTTCATTGAGTAGTGAGAATACAAGTGATTTTTAATTTTTCCTGTTTGTGAAATATTTGGCAAATTACTACAATAGATGTACATTATGCAATAAAAGAAACAAATGGTAAGGGTTCGTACAAGGACAATTTTTAATTTAACTTGCAAATTAAAATATTCATTGGCAATAAACTGGATTTCTATAATTTCTGAATTGGTAAGGGTTTTGTAAGTGAATACAGAAAAGGCAGAAGTTGAATGAGCTGGTTATGTTGCAATGCAATTAGTGATAGGTCCCTGTTATTTCAAAAAGTTTGTTTCAATCAATAAATATTTACTTAGTACCTATGATATACCAGGTACTATTTGAGATGTTTAGGCTGCCCATAATCCCAGCACTTTGGGAGGCCAAGGCAGTACAATTGCTTGAGGGTAGGAGTTTGAGACCAGCCTGAGGGAATACTGCAGTGAACCAAACAGGTCAAGTCTCTCACACAAACTTACATTCCCTAGAGCAGCAGTCCCCAATCTTTTTGGCACCAAGGACCAGTTTCATGGAAGGTCCACGAAACAATTTTTCCAAGGACTGGGTTTGGGGGTGGGGTATGGTTTCAAGATAATACTGTTCCACCTCAAATCATCAGGCATTAGATTCTTATAAGGAGTGAGCAACCTAGATCCCTCGTGTGTGTGGTTCACAATAAGGTTTGCACTCCTGTGAGAATCTAACGCCACAGCTGATCCGACAGGAGGTAGAACTCGGGCGATAACGCTTGCCTTCAGCTCACTTCCTGCTGTGCGGCCCAGTTCTTAACAGGCCACGGACCAGTACCGGTCTGAGGCACAGGGATTGGGGGACACCTGCCCTAGAGTAAATCAAACTACAAATTCAACAGGATCCCTTAATTCTTTCATAAGAAGCATTTAGTCACTACTTGCATGTAGCACTATATCTTAAAAGGAAATATGGGTGGAAGTATAGCCAACGTCCAAGACCACCCCCAAAATATAAACAAACTATACACAAATTGGAGAATAAACCCTGAGATCCTCTTGTGAGTGATGTGGCAACAGGATTCTCCCTACATAACTGTGGCTCAATGCTTTTCTCATATCTTTTTTTTTTTTTTTTTTTTTTTTTTGAGACAGTCTCATTCTATTACGCAGCTGGAGTAGTAAGGTGGTGTGATCTCAGTTCTCTGCAACCTCCGCCTCTGAGGCTCAAGCGATCCTTCTGTCTCAGCCTCCTGAGAAGCTGGGACCATGGGCGGATGCCACCATGACTGGCTAATTTTCTGTATTTTTGGTAGAAATATGTTTTGCCATGTTGCCCAGGCTGGTCTCGAACTCCTGAGCTCAAGTGGTCCACATGCCTCAACCTCCCAATCTGCTGGAATTATAGGTGTGAGCCCCCATGCTTGGCAACTCTTCTTACATCTTAAGTCCCAGTGTCAATCAGTAATCACTAGATGCCCTTGGTTTTACTACAAGATTCAATTCAAAATTGTCTTTGGTAAAAATGTTAAGAAGTAAAAGTATTCTTACCTTTAGAACAGAACTACTGTCTGCAGGTGTAGTATGTATCAGAGTTTCATGAGACTCTTTGGGGAGGGGCACATTATTCTCATTTAACGCAGCACTAGGAAGAAAAAGACAAATTCACATCATGTAGGACCTGTACAGGTACAGGCAGGACTTTCAAAGAAAGGATTTAGGAAAGAAGGGCAACCAAGTCATCTAAGGGAAATTGTATGAAAAAATGCTCAGCATCACTAATCATCAGGGAAATGCAATTCCAAACTATGTGGAGATATCATTTCACTCCAGTTAAAATGGTTTTATAATTTAAAAAAGATAAGCAATAACAAATGCTGGTGAGGACCCATAGAAAGGGTAACCCTCTTACTCTGTTGGGAATATAAATCGGTACAGCAACTTTAAAGAACAGTATGAAGGTTCCTCAAAAACTAAAAAGAGAATGACCATTATGGTCCAGCGATTCCACTACTGGATAAACATCCAAAAGAGAGAAAATCAATATATCAAAAAGACATCTGTACTCCCATTCTCATTAAGCTCTACTCACTACAGTCAAAATATCGAACTGACCTAAGTGTCTATCAAGTGCTTAATGTATTATCACATGGACCCTGAAACATCTGCAGTGCATCTATATTTTAAAAAGTTAAAGGAAACCATGGACAAAGAAGTAAAGGAAACCAAGAAAACAATGTGCCAACAAATATAGAATATTAATAATAATAAATTATAAAAAGGAATTAACAATTTTGAAGCTGAAAAGTATAATAATTTTTTTAACTTCAGGGTACATGAGCAGGTTTGTTATCTAGGTAAACTTGTATCATGGGAGTTTGTTGTACAAATTATTTTGTCAACCAGGTATTAAACCCAGTCTCCATTAGTTATTTTTCCTGATCCTCTCCTTCTCCACGCTCTACTTTCTGAGAGGGTCCACTGTCAGAAGTTCCCCTCTCTGTGTCCAAATGTTCTCATCATTTAGCTCCCACTTACAAGTGAGAACACGCAGTATTTGGTTTTCTGTTCCTGTGCTAGTTTGCTAAGGATAATGGCCTCCAGCTCCACCCATGTTTCTGTAAAGGACACAATTTCATTCTATTGCATTATCTTTTAAGGCTGCATACTATTTCAAGGTGTGTATATATACCACATTAAAACATTGAGCTTTGGGAATCTGAGGCAGGCGGATCATGAGGTCAGGAGTTCCAGACCAGCCTGCCTAACATGGTGAAACTCGTGTCTCTACTAAAAATACAAAAAAATAAAAAATAAAAAATAAAAATTTAAAAAAATTAGCTACTCTGGGGTCTGAGGCAGGAGAATCGCTTGAACCTGGGAGGCAGAGGTTGCAGTGAGCTGAGACCACACCACTGCATTTCAGCCTCGGTGATAGAGCAACATGCCATCTCAAAAATAAAATAAAATAAAAATCCAGCCTGCCACTGATGGGCCTTTAGGTTGATTACATGTCTTTGCTACTGTGAATAGTACTGCAGTGAATGTACGTGTACATGTGTCTTTATGACAGAATGATTTATATTCCTTTGGGTATATACCCAGTAATGGGATTGCTGGGTTTAATGGTATTTGTTTTAGGTCTCTGAGGAATCACCACACTGTTTTCCACAATAGCTGAACAAATTTACACTCCTACCAACAATGTGTAAGAATTCTTGTTTCTCTGCAATCTCACCTGTTATTGTTTGACTTTTTAATAATAGCCATTTTAACTGGTCGACATGTTACCTCACTGTGGTTTTGATTTGGATTACTCTAATGATCAGTGTGATGCTGAGTTTTTTCTACATGCTTTTTGGCCACCTATAAGCCTTCTTTTGAGAAGTGTCTGTTTAAGTCCTTTGCCCACTTTTTAATGGGGTTGGTTTATTTTTTTCTTGTAAATTTACTTAAGTTCCTTATAAATGCCGGATATTAGACCTTTGTCAGATGCATAGTTTGCAATAATTTTCTCCCACTCTGTTAAGTTGTCTGTTTACTTGGCTGCGTTTCTTTTGCTATGCAGAAGCTCTTTAATTAGATCTCATTTATCAGTTTTTGCTTTTGTAGCCATTGCTTTTAGCATCTGCCTCATGAAATCTTTGCCTGTTTCTATGTCCAGAATAGTATTGCCTAGATCGTCTTTCAGGGCTTTTATAATTTTGGGTTTTATATGTAAGACTTTAACCTGTCTTGAGTTGATTTTTGCATAAAGTATAAGGAAGTGGTCCAATTTTTTCTATCTTCTGCATATAGCTAGCCAGTTATGCCAGCACCATCTATTGAATAGGGAGCCCTTTCCCCATTTCCTGTTTCTGTCAGCTTTGTTGAAGATCAGATAGTTGTAGGTGTGTGGCATTATTTCTAGGCTCTCTATTCTGTTCCATTGGTCTACGTGTCTGTCTTTATACCAGTACCATGCCGTTTTGGTTACTGTAGCCCTAAAGTATAGTTTGAAGTCAGGTAGCATAATGCCTCCAGCTATCTCTTTTTGTTTAGGATTGCCTTGGCTATTTGGGCTTGGTTTTGGTTCCTTAAAATAGTTTCTTCTAGTTCTGTGAAGAATGTCATCAGTCGTTTGAGCCTAAGTTTGAGACTACAGTGAGCTGTGCTCATGCCACTGTACTCCAACCTGGGTGACAGAGCAAGATCCTGTCTCAAAAAAAAAAAAAAAAAAAAAAAAAAAGGTACTGTAAAATACCATAAGGGTGTAAAGAAATAAAAACTTTCACATTACTGGGAGGAAGAGAAAACCGTGCAGTGGTTGTAGAAAACAGTTTGGCAGTTCCTTAAAAGGTTAAAAATAGAATTAGCATATGACTCAGCAATTCGCAATCTAGATGTGTAACTGAAAAACAGGTGTTCAAACAAAAAATTGTACATGACTATTCATAGCTGCAATATTCATAACAGCCAAAAAGTAGAAACAACCTAAATATCTATCAACAGATGAACAAATAAGCAAAATGTGGTATATCCCATACAATGAAATATTACACAGCCATCAAAGGAAATAAAGTTCTGATATATAATAGTACAGTGTGGATGACCTGGAAACATTATGCTAAGAAGCCAGACACAAAATACCTCATATTACAGAATATCATTTATGTGAAATGTCCAGGATAGGTAAATCTATAGAGACAGAAAGTAGCAGAGTGGCTCCTCAGGGTTGGGGAAAGGCAATGCAGAGTAGATGGGGTTACAGTTAGAAAGTATATTTCTTTTTGAGGTGACGAAAATATTCTGAAATTTGATACTGGTGGTGGTTGCACATACCTGTACTAAATACAGAATGTACCAAATGTACTAAAATGTACTAAAAACTACTCAATTGCACACTTTTTTTTTCTTTTTTTTGAGATAGAGTCTCCAGGCTGGAGTGCAGTGGCACGATCTCAACTCACTGCAACTTCCTCCTCAATTCAAGCGATTCTCCTGCTTCGGCCTCCTGAGCAGCTGGGATTACAGGGACAAGCCACCACGCCCAGCTAATTTTTATATTTTTAGTAGAGATGATGTTTCACCATATTGGTCAGGCTGGTCTCGAACTCCTGACCTCGTGATCCACCAGCCTCAGCCTCCCAAAGTGCTGGAATTACAGGTGTTAAGCCACCATGCCTGGCCCTGAATTGCACACTATAAGTGGATGAATTGTGTGGTATTTCAATCAAATTCATCAATGAAGCTGTTACTACAAAAATAAATGATCTGAATAGACATTTCTCCAAAGAAGACATATATACAAAAGGATGTTCAACATCATTGTCCTTAGGTAAATGCATATCAAACCACAATGAAACACTACTTCACACTCACTAGGATGAGTATAAAAAACAAGGAGAATAAAAAGCATTGTCAATGACATGGAGAAATCGGAATCCTCATACAGTGTTGGTAATGAAAAATGTTACAGCCATTTTGGAAGACATTTGGCAGTTCTTAATAAAGTTAAATAATATGACTGAGAACAAATGGTTTTACTTGTAGATATATACCAAGGAGAACTGAAAGTATATCTACAAAAAAATTTTTGTATGCAAATATTCATTTCTAGCTTTATTCATAATAGCTAAAGAGTGGAAACAAATGTCCATCAACTGATACATGGATAAACAGATGTGGTATATCTTTATAATGGAATATTATCCAGCCATAAGGAGGGATAATGTACCAAAACATGCTACAATATAGACAAACTTTGAAAATATTATGTTGAACGTAAGAAGACAGACACAAAAGGACACATATTGTATAATTCCATTGACATAAACTGTCCAGAGTAGGTAAATCCACAGAGACAGAAAGTAGTATTAGTGGCTGCCAGCTGCTGGGGAAGAAGCAGAATGTGGAGTAACTGCTAATGGGTAAGGAGTTGCCAGAACTTAGGTAAAGTTTCTAGGGTAAGGAGTTTTAGACCTATGAGGTTTCTAGAACATTCTCAAACAATGTTCTAGAATTTATTATAGTGGTAATGGTTGCACAATTTTGTAAAATCACTAATTTTGTGGTTATGTGAATTATGTCAGTAAAAATAGAAAAATGATCTAAATCTGCTATGGTAAAATGTTAAGATGTGATACAGCCTGATATCTGGTATATAGGTATGTATTATATACTTCTCCATAGTGTCTCTATGCCTGAAATGTTGCATTTTAAAAAAGGAGGTACAGTAAAACAACAGTGTGGTATGGCATGGAGAAAACAGATTAACAGAGAAGGAAAAGATCCAGAAATAGACCTTTGTTTATACAAGAACTGAGCATATTGCAAAGGATGCATTTAAAATCCTATGGGAAAAACAGATTACTCAAAATATGAACAGCCATTTAGAAAAATAAATCTGGAAGTAAGTTGGGGTACGTTCTAGGCTCTTTCCAGCTTCGAGAGTTCAATGAAACTTCTGATGAACATGGGGCAGTCCTGTCCCCATTACCCTTCTCCTGGCAAACAAAAAAATTTGACAAGGTTATTCTGAAAGACTTCAATAATAGCAATAGTACTAGAAATGGACTAACTGTTGTTATTAGAATTTTCTTTTTTTTTTTTTTTTTTTAAACAAGGTCTCATTCTGTCACTCAGAATGAAGTGCAGTGGTGTGATCATAGCTCACTGCAGTCTCAAACTCCTGGGCTCATAAAATTATCCCTCTTCATTCTCTTGAGTAACTAGGACTACAGTATGGATCACCATCCTTGGCTGATTTTGTATTTTTTATTGTAGAGATGGGGTCTCACTCTGTTGCCTAGGCTAGTCTCAAACTGCTGGCCTCAAGTGACCCTCCTGCCTTGACCTCTGAAAGTGCCAGGATTACAGGTCTGAGACACTGTGCCTGGCGGTTAGAATTAGTTACAAGGTCAAGCTGTAATTCTAGTTTTACCGTGATCACCAATTAGTACTTTTGTGGAGTACTAACTATTATATGAAATGCTATACACTATGAATGCTATGTGCAGTGCTGCATTGATTACAGTATCTGGAACTGAATATTAATCAAAACCCTTGACTAAGTTTTGAATAATAAAAAAAGAAACAGCATTTATTTGCTCCACATTTCTTAACACCAAGCACAGAACATTAGATTCACAGTGGTGAAGAAAATCAATCTGCCATAAAAAAGCATGGAATAAAAGCCTAACGAACAAGATAAATAAATAACAAAACACTCATTAAAGAGAAGAGCAGAAGAGACTTGGAGGGAGTAGCAAAGAAAGTTACTCAGTTACTGTGAGAACCCATGGCAAGTAAGTTTATAAGAATAAGGCCATTGTGATAACAGGGTGACAAGAATGTTTACTAGAAGAGAAATAATACACACTCCTTACCAGGTGATTGATAAGATTTCACAAAGCTTTAAAATGGTTTTTGCTCTGTTGGTTCGAATCAGTTGAAGACAAATGGGAATACTGGGAAACTAATTAGAAACATCTTCAAATAATATAAAACTAGGTACTAAGTTGTCTGTAATGAATGCAATAGGGTGTATTCAAGCTATCTTTCAAACGGACATCCTGAAATCATGTGGTGACAGACTGAGAAGAAAAAAATGACAAAAAGGGTAGTAGATAAGAACATCAATTTAATGCAGTGTTTCCAGAACTGTACCTGTTTGTGGCAGCATCCTGAACACCGGCATTTTTATGACTTAATAAGCTATCTTCTCTTGTAACCTAAGAAGATGAAATTTTTTAAAAAGGTAAATCTTTGTTGAAGATACTAAAGTAACAAGAAATTTACATTTCTTTCTAGTAAAAATAGAAGTATCAACTTGCTTCAGTTTAAATAAGAGGTAATCATACCTTGTCTATGGAAATATCAGCAGTACACCTAGTACAATAATACCCCATACCTAAATTAATAATCAAAGATTCATTTTATTTGGTATACAAATTCACACAATCTTACTACATGGTTCTCAATAATGCACCCATTTTTTTTATTTTTCATTTATTTATTTTTGAGATGGAATCTCACTCTGTCCCCAAGGCTGGAGTGCAGTGGTGCAATCTTGGCTCATTGCAATCTCTGCCTCCCAGGTTCAAGTGATTCTCTTGCCTTAGCCTCCTGAGTAGCTTGGATTACAAATGTGTGTGCCACCACCCCTGGCTAATTTTTTGTATTTTTAGTAGAGGCGGGGTTTCACCATGTTGGCCAGGCTGGTCTCAAACTCCTGGCATCAACTGATCCACCCACTTTGGCCTCCCAAAGTGCTGGGATTACAGACATGAGCCACTGCACCCAGCATCAATAATGTTCTCATTTTCATTTTTAAAAAAATTTTTTAAAAAGGCATACAAGTGCTTAACCAATGTAATGTCACATTTCCACTATCTCTCCCACTCCCTGCCTCAGTATTCCTTCCCTTTAGACTGCTCATATAATCCCACAAAAAAAAACCGTTATTCGAGATAAAGGATGATCTATACTTTATACAGTTTCATATCATTGGAATCACAATACCTATCCTTTATGTCTGCTTCTTTAGAGCAGCATGGTGATGTCTTTGAGATTTGCTTATGTTGTTGTATAAATCACTAATTCATTCCCTTTTATTCAGAGAGACATTTCATTGTATAGATACAATCACAATATTTGCTCATCTGTTTAACTATTAATGAACATTTGGATTTTTTCCAGTTTTTAGCTATTTCGTATAAAGCTGCTAGGAACATTCGTGTACTAACATCTTTGTTAACCTGAACTTTGATTTCTCCTGGGCAAATATCTAAGAATGTAACTGCCGAGTTAGATGATATGTGTATGTTCAATGCATTGCCAAACTCTTCACGTGTTTATACCATTTTATGCTCTTACCAGCAATGTATGTGCACTGCAGGAGCTCCATCATCACCAACGCAGTGATGGTTGGTCTGTAATTTTACTGTTTCAGTGGACGTGCCCGTCATCATTAATTATATTAGTTGTAGATTTTGTTTGCTCTTTATCAAGCTGAAGGAGTTCCATTTTATTGCTAGTTTGCTGAGCGTTTTTATCATGAACAGGTGTTGAATTTTGTAAAATGCCTTTTCTATATGAATTGAGACAATTTTATGCATTTTTTAATATGATGAACTATCCTGGGTTTTGAATGATAAACCAACATTTTCCCCAAGATAAACCTTACTTGATCATGATGTATGATCCTACTTATAAACTGCTGAGTATATTTTGTTAAGAATTTTTATGTTAATGTTCAAGAGGAGTACTGGTCTGTAGTTTCTTGTAATTTTTTTTCTGGTTTTGGTATTGGGATGACACCAGTCTCATAAAATGAATTAGGAAGTGTTCCTTCCTCTCTTGTATCTTTTTGAAAAACTCTGCCTAGAACTGCTAATATTTCTTCCATAAATGTTTCGTGAATTTCACAGTGAAGGCATCTGGTCCTGGATTTATCTTCATGTATAAGTCTTTTCACTGCAAAATCAAATCCCTTTACTTTAGGGCTACTCATGTTATTTCTCTCTTCTTCAACTCCAGAAAGATCCAAAATGATAAATGTAAGGTAATGATTTCTTAGTCCATTCAGGCTGCTCTAACAAAACAACATCATCTGGGTGGCCTATAAATAACAAATATTTCTTCCTCGCAGTTCTTGGGGCTGAGAAACTGAAGATTATGGCACTGGAAGATTCAGTGTCTGGCGAGGGCCCATTCCTCATAGATGGTGGCTTCTTGTTGCAGCCTCACATGGTAAATGGGTTAAACAAGTTCCCTCCGGCCTCTTTTATAAGAGCACTAATCCCACTCCTGAGGGTTCTGCCAAAGGTCCCATCTATTGATACCATGGCTTTGGGGATTAGGTTTCAACATAAAAATTTTGCAGGGCACACAACCATTCAGACCATAGCAAATGATAGCTATTACTACTACTGCTACTATATCTATCGAAGATCAACACTTTCGGGTTTTTGTTTTGTTTTGAGATGAAGCCTCACACTTTTGCCCAGGCTGGAGTGCAATGGTACAATCTCAGCTCACTGAAGCCTCTGCCTCCCAGGTTCAAGCAATTCTCCTGCCTCAGCCTCTCAAGTAGCTGGGATTGCAGGTGCCCACCATTACCCCTGGCTAATTTTTTGTATTTTTAGTAGAGACGGGGTTTCACTTTGTTGGCCAGGCTGGTCTCGAACTCCTGACCTCATGATCCCCCTACCTCGGCCTCCCAACATGCTGGGATTACAGGCGTGAGCCACGACGTCTGGCTGAGGATCAACACTTTCTAAATGCTTATTATGTGCCAAGCACTATTCCACATCCTTTAATTATATTATTTCACCTTTACAGCCCACCTTAAGGTAGGTACTACTATTATCCTATTTTCTATATAATTAAACTGAGGCTCAAAAAAATTAACTTGTCCAAGTCTCAAAGCTAGTTGGTGGTAGAACAGAAATGAGATTCTAGAGTCAATACTATCATATTTCATATTTATCTTCTATGTAAATATGTTTTGTGTTTATATTCTGTGGAGAAAATGGATAAAGACATGAACAATATTCCTAAAGTCCACTCAGGTCTCTTCAAGGCTTGTAACTGAGGACAGAATGGGTAAAGCACATCTTCTCAATAACAGGAGAATTTGACAAATGACTTAGTGAGGCAGGCTTCTGTCCTGATTTTAGGACAGAATACAAGTTTTAAAGTCACCGAGAGCCAAGGAAAAGCTGATTTTGAGAGCAAGGCTACCACATCCCTCATGGGAGCTGGTCCCTACCCACTCCATCCTTCACCATGTCACAGCCAACTCTTCATCTTGTATCTCACCCTTTTTGCTAATTACATAAACATATAGCCAAATTGAGGGTAGATGGGACGTGGGGAATAGTAAATGGATAAAGACAGGCGTAGAATCATATACTTAATACTGAAATAACCCTTTAAAAAATCACAAAATTTTCTGGCTATCAAAGTGGCAAAAATTGAAGACTCACTTCTATACAAATTTGGTTTTTTTTAGCCTTCATATGACCCTGAGCATCTTTACTTGTTTTTTTTTTAAACCCCCTGACTGCACCCTTAATCTAGCTTGATTTGAATTTAGAGTTGAGGAAGGCAGCTCTCTACATCCCACACTATTTTCACTTCACCAGGGCTATCTAGTAAAGGCAGCTTACCTTATGTACTCCTTCTACCTGAGCCTTCAAAATGTTACTCTTGAAGTCAGGAGGAACTCTCAGGGCATTCAATCCCGGGCTCTCAATGACATTATTAAGGCATTTCTCAGTCAACTTCATCACTTCCTCCTAGTATTTTAAAAACATACTATAATCAACTCTGATGCACTATAGTTACATGGAAATAGGAAATAAACTGATGAAAGTTCATATTCAGACAATCAGGAAATTATGTGTCTTAAGTAGCCATATCTTATTTCAGACATAAGCAACTCCTACAATCATCTATCTGTGAAGAACTCCAGATTTAAAGGGAACAGCCTCTGTAGGGCCTAACCTAAAATTGTAGCAAACTATAACCCAATGGGCAAATCTGGTCAACCACCTATTGTGTAAACAGTTTACTGGAATTTAGCCATGTTCATTCCTCTGTGCTGCTTTCATGCTACAATTGCAGAGCTAAGTAGCTGTGATAGAGACTATGAGGTTCTCAAAAACTAAAATATTTACTATCTAATCCTTTACTGAAATAATCTGCCAACCTCTGGTCAAGAGAATAGTCTTCATGCCCTACTTTTCATCTTTTAGCCTAAAAATAATAGTTGCTAAAGGCCACATATGCCTTAATTGTACCCACTGTCCTCGCTGAGTGCAGTTGAGATTCTGTTGCTCCTTTATGCTTTTAAAACAAATTACTGCTCATCAAAGAACAAGAAAAACTGATTCCTGAAATAAAATTTGAAGATAAAGAACATTCTGGATTGCCTCAGGTAATTAAGTAAAGGAAAGTAATTGAAAAATCTATAGATCTTGATATGGCATAAATCCTAAAGGATTTCAAAGGCATAAGAGAAAACTGAAGTCTGGAAGGGGATAATGAAGGAGACAAATAAATAACATAAATGTATTTATTACCACTGAACTATGGTAAAAATGGTAAAGATGGTAAATTACATATGTATATTTTACCTTTTTTCTTTTCTCTCTCTTTTTTTTTTTTAAAGAGAAAGCACAGAGACTAAGTTGCAGAGAAAAGGAAGGATCAAAAAAAGAGAAGAATCTTGACAACTCTTAAAATCACGGCATCTCAAAGTTGGAAGGAACAATACTCCATCAAACCACCAAAATACTTCAAGAGGGGGTTTATTATTTCTTTTATTCTAAGTTTGGGTTTAGTTTACTCTTGTTTTACTAGTTCCTTAAGATGCATCATTAGACTGTTTATCTAAAGTTGTTCTACTTTTGTGATGCAGGCGCTTATTGCTATAAACTTTCCTCAGTACTGCTTTTGCTGTATCCCATAGATTTTAGTATGTTTTGTTTCCATTTTCATTTGTTTCAAGAAATTTAAAAATTTCCTTACTTCTTCATTGACCCACTGGACATTTGGGAGCATACTGTTTGATTTCCATGTGTTTGTACAGTTTCCAAAGTTTCTCTTGTTACTGATTTCTAATTTTATTCCACTGTGGTCAGAGGAGATACTGGAAATGATTTTAATTTTTTCGAATGTGCAAGACTCGTTTTGTGACCTAACATATGGCCTATCCTTGAGAATAATCTGTGTGTGGAGGACATGAATGTGTGTTCTGCTGCCATTAGATAAAATGTTCTGTAAATGTCTATTAGGTCTATTTGATCTACAGTGATTACATATAATTTTGGGGGTTAATTTTTCTGTCTGGATGATCTATCCCCTGCTCAACATGGGGTGTTGAATTCTCTGGCTATAACTGTATGAGGCATATCTTTCTGTGTAGCTTTGATAATGTTTGCTCTATATATCTGGGTGCTCCAGTTTTAGGTACATATATTATTTTGTTACATCCTTTTGCTGAATTCACCCTTTATCAATATATAATAATCTTCTTTGTCTCTCTTTTTATGATTTTTGTCTTGAAATCAATTTTATCTAATATAAGTATCGCCACACCTGCTCTGTTTCTGGTTTCCATTTGCATGGAATATCTTTTTCCATCCCTTTATTTTCAGTCTTCATGTGTCTTTATAGGTGAAATATGTATCATGTAGACAGCAGATCATTGGGGCCTTTTTCTTTTTTTTTTTTTTTTTGGCAGAAAGTGATTTATTTAGGCAGAAAGAAAAAGGGGAAAGAAACAGAGAAGAGAAAGAGTAGCTTCCATGAGATTGTCAAGGGTTTTTTTTTTTTTAAGCCATTCAGCCACTCTGTCTTTTGATTGGAGAATTTAGTCCATTTATATTCATTATTATTATTGAATAATGAATATAAATGGCCATTTTGTTATCTGTTTTCTGGTTGTTTTGTGGTCTTCTCTTTTTCCTTTCCTGCCTTCCTTTTCGTGAAGGTGCTTTTCTCTGGTGGTATGCTTAAATTTCTTTTTATTTTTTGGTGTATCTGTTATACGTTTTTTGAAGTTACCACGAGGCCTGCAAATAACATCTTGTAACACATTATTTTAAACTGATGACAATGTTGATTGAAAAAAAAAAATCAACAAGCAAAGAGAAAACTAATAAAAACTCTTTAAGTTCAACACCGCCCTTTTCAACTTGTTGCTTCTATTTATATCTTATTACATCATGTCTAGAAAAGTTGTTGTAGTTATATTCTTGATAGCCTTTCATCCTTTCTACTCGAGATATGAGTAGTTTATACACAACAATTTCAAAGTTATAATATTCTGTATTTGTTACCATTACCAGTGAGTTGTGTACCTTCAGATAATTATCTTATCACTCATTAACATCTTTTCCTTTCAGACTGAAGAACTAAGACAGGTCTGGTGAAATCCCTCAGCTTTTGTTTGTTTGGCAAAGTATTTCTCCTTCATGTTTGAAGGATACCTTCAAACACGGATATACTATTTTAGGATAAAAGTTTTTCCTTCATTTAAAACATGTCATGCCACTCTCTGCTGGACCATAAGGTTTCTGCTGAAAAGTCTGTTTCCAGATGTATTGAAGCTCCCTTGTGTGTTTCTCTTCTCTTGCTTTTAGGATTCTTTAACACTGACATTTGGGAGTCTGAATATTCACTATCTTGAGGTAGTCCTATTTGGGGTAATTCTGCTTGGTGTTCTATATCCTTCCTGTACTTGAATATTGGTATCTTTTTCTCTAGGCTTGGCAAGTTCTCTGTTACTATCCCTTTGAATACACTTTCTACCACATCTCTTTACCTCTTCTTTAAGGCCGATAACTCTTCAATTTGTCCTTTTGAAGCTATATTTTAGATATTCTAGGTGTACTTCATTTTTTCTTTTTTTGTCTCCTCTGAGTGTGTATTTTCAAACAGGCTGTCTTCAAGCTAATTCTTTCTCCTGCTCAATCAATTCTGTGGTTGAGAGACTGATGCATTCTTCACTATGTCAACTGAATTTTTCAGCTCCAGGATTACTGTTGATTTTTAAAAATTATTTCAATTTCTTTGTTAAATTTATCTGATAGGACTCTGAATTCCTTTTCTGTGTTATATTGAATGTCACTGGGCTTCCTTAAAGCAGCTATTGAGTTTTCTGCCTGAAAGGTCACATATGTCTGTCAATCTGGGCTTGGTCACTGGTGCCTTATTTAGTTTGTTTGATGAGGTCATGTTTTCCTGGATGATCTTGGATGCTCGTTGATGTCTGGGCATTAAAGAGTTAGGTATTTATTGTAATCTCTGCAGTCTAGCCTTGTTTGTACCTGTCTGTCTTGAGAAGGCTTTCTAGTTATTCAAATGGAAGTGAATGTTGTGATATAAGTTTTTGGTCACTCCAGCCATATCTGCATTAGGAGGAACCCCACGACCAGTAAGGATGTTACTCTTGCAGAGTTGTTGAGATACAGCCTTGGTGGTCTTGGGTAAGATCTGGGAGAATTCCCTGAATTACCTACTCCAGATCTGAGTAGTTTATACACAACAATTTCAGTGTTACAATATTCTGCATTTGTTTGTGTACATACCATTACCAGTGAGTTGTGTACCTTCAGATGATTATCTCATTGCTCATTAACATCTTTTCCTTTCAGACTGAAGAACTTCCTGGCAGAGTCTCTTGTTCTCTTTCCTCACTTTCCCCATACAGTCTCTCTCTTCTCAGTGAGCTGCATGGAGCTGGGAAGGAATGACAAAAGCACCCTCATGGCTACCCACTGAGACTGTGCCAAGTCAGACCTGAAGCCAGTACAGTACTCGGTCTCACCCAAGGCATGTGGTGACTATTGCCTGGCCAACACTGATGTTAATTCAAGGCCCAGAGTTTCTTACATAAGCAAGTGGTGAATCCAGCTAGGCTTGTGCCTTTCTCTGTAGGACTGCAGGTTCTCTTCTGGCTCAGGGCCGGTTTAGAAATGCCATCTAAGGAGCTAGGGCCTGGAGCTGGGAACTGTAGGAATCTACTTAGTACTTCATTTTTGCTGTGACTGAGCTGTTATCTAAGCCGCAAGACAAAGTTATTTTTATTCTTTCTTCTCCTTTAGGGCCTGGAGCTGGGAACTGTAGGAATCTACTTAGTACTTCATTTTTGCTGTGACTGAGCTGTTATCCAAGCCGCAAGACAAAGTTATTTTTATTCTTTCTTCTCCTTTACTCAAGCAGAAGGTATCTCTCCCCATGGCCACCACAGCTGAAAATGCCCTGGATCACACCTGAAGCCAGCATGGTACAAGGTCTTGCCCAAGGCCTGCAGCAAGTACTGCCTGGAAACCACTGGCCCAAGGCTTCTTTCGTCAGCAGATGATGAATCCTGTCAGGACTGGGTCCGTTCCCTCAAGGCAGCAGGTTCTCTTCCAGCCCATACTATGTGCAGAAATGTCACTGGGAGGTAGGGCCTGACATGGAGGCGTTAGGACTCTGCTTGGTGCTTTATTTTACTGTGGCTACACTGGTATCCAAGATACAAGACAAAGTACTCTTTACTCTTCCCTCACCTTTCCTTAAGTGGAAGAAGTCTCTCCCAGACTTGCAAGCTGTACTACCTAGGGTTAAGAGAGGGTGATGTAAGCACTCCCTTGGCCTCCCCAGCTAATCTCTCTCTAGGTCATGTGTACCCCAGTTCCACCGGCTCTGAGCACAGCACAGTAACAGGATTTGCCCAGGAATTGTAGTCCTTGTGGCCTAGACTATCTTTCAAATTTATTTAGGATCCTACAGCACTTTAGCCCACAGTGGTGGGGCTAGCTGGAACTCAGGTTCCAATTGCTGGGATGGATGATTCTTCTCTCGCTAAGGTTGCTCTAAATGTAGGCTCTGTGGAAGCTGGCAAAATTCTGCCCTGTGTTGCTTTCCATTCTGACAGATCAACACTGAGTTCCAATACAAAGTCCCATAGCCACTGTGCTCTCCCTCCCCCAAGCACAGATTCTCTCTCAGGGCCACCCTCCTCCATAGGGGAAGGGTGGCATCAGCAATTCAAGAGTCTTTCCTACTCTCTTCAGTGCCTCTTTCTTTGGTATGATGCTAAAACCAGGTACTATGATGGTTCATCTGATTTCTGGTTCTTACGAAGGTCCTTTATTGTATGAAGAGTTACTTAATTTGGTGTTCCTGCTGGGGCGATGGTCACTGGAGAGTTATAATGGCCATCTTGCTCCATCTCCCTCCTTCCTTCTATTCTTCTCTGGCATAGAGTAAACCCTCTCTAGATATTAAATGTTATTCTTCCTAGCTATGTGATCCTCCAAATGTTTCTTGATGGCACACTGTCTTTCACCTAAAGTGCTCCTTTACTCTCCTATCCTGAACCTACACTCCTCCTCATCTTTTCAAGGCTTCAAAACTAATCCAGTAGACTCTCTGCCTCAGAGGATCAGTTATATTACAGCAAATATATGCAGGACATTTTACAAAAGAAACAAGTAGATGTTCAATAGATTTCCATGAACTCTGAGCACAGCCAACCCTGAGATCCCCCCACCCCTGCTCCTCCTTACCACCAAGTTTTAAGAAAAAAAAAAAGTTTCTTTTTTTTCCTGAGTAGCTGGGACTATAGGCATGCTCCACCACACCTGGCTAATTTTTGTATTTTTTGTAGAGATGGGTTTTCACCATGTTGGCCAGGATGGTCTCGATCTCCTGACCTGATCTACCACCTGCCTCGGCCTCCCAAAGTGCTGGGATTGCAGGCATGAGTCACAGCGCCCAGCCCTGGGCTTCATTCTTTAGGGTCATTCCAGTCTTCCACTATATTTCTGTTAGTTATTAACCATCTAAAGCTTTTATCTAAAGTTTTCAATTTATCCTTCTGTCTCCAGCCCTGCATTCCCCTACTTTACAAAGATATTTTTAAAAGTTGACACCATGAAAGCAAACAGACAAGTGGGACAGAATACTGAAAAGTCAACAAAATGGAAAACCTTTCTGAAACTGAATCACCTTCTAACAGCTATTTCTAAGAAAAAATACATTAGAAAGAAAGGAAAAAAAAAGGCTTGGATCCAGAAGGACATTTTTAATAATGACAGTGCAAGACAAGAAAATCACTTTCTACTCTATACTGGTCTCTGAAGAAATTCCAGTGAGTTATCCAAGGACGGAAGAACACTGTGAGTCAGCCGTTCTCCTTTCCTCTTTAAAACAAAAACACAATTCATCTTGGCCATGTTATCAGTTGTCTATATGTAGAGGAAACAAAAGGGCATTTCCAGATCATTACTTATAATCAACTCTTTCATTTAGTGGGGCCATCTGGTAGCTGATATGATTAATTACAAAATTTCCACCTCATTCAATTTATTTTAGTTCTTCCTATAAGTTATTTAACATAGAAATAAGAAAATTATAGTCAAACTATAGATTGAAGCTTGATCCGTGTAATTGGTATGTATCCCCCATCCCACAACAAAAAAATTCAAAGGGGACAAGGTAGAGAAAGGAATGACAGATGAAGATAAAGCATCTGATATTCTATTCTCTTTCTTGTTTATGTCACAGAGCAGCTCTCTTTCAAACAAATCCTTCTATAATTTCAATAGGTTTTCAGCAAGCCCTTCAACTAGACTGGGTGAATCAAAATAAAAGGTTTAACAGTCATCTTGACTGTTTTTTTTTTAATCATTAAATCACCCTACAATTCATGTTGCTGTGCAAGTTTTCCTCCATCCCTCTTAAATATCTACATATTTCACCCTTTAAAATGAAAAAACAGGTTTGTAAGAACTCAGCACAGACAGATTACCCAGCTAAAGAAAAAAAGGAAGTATTATCTTTGGAAAGAAAAAAATTCCAGGAGCTCTGGGTAACAGGTGTACACAAGGGAAATCTGAATACCTGGCTGTTTATGTTAACATCGATGTTGGGTCGAGGGGACAGCAAAGGACTGTTCTCCATCTCAAGCTGTTTGATCTTCTCTGAGGTGTCTTCTAATGCTGAAAAAAAAAAAAAAAAAGGCAAAATGACCCCTCAGTCCGCCAGGCTGTCACAGCTAGCTATGTGAGGGTATGGTTTGGTTTTGTTTTCTCAACATCGGTTATCACCAATTAATAGTAATAATCTGGATAAACACAAAATAAATATATTTTCTTTCCATAACCAGCTACCTGTCCACTCATTTGAATAACAGTTAATCCTAAGTAGGAACACCAACCTGTAACTGCAGTACTCCTAAAAAGCAAGCAGATGTGAAATTTCCATAGCATGTGTGGTTGAGAAGGTTTACCTAGCCAAGAGACTCAAAAGGCACAGAACACTTATGACATGATCCTTTTCTTTTATAACTACAACCAGGCTCATGTGTAACCTCAACACTTTGTCATCTTTGTTCCTTGGCCATGACTACTGGCTAAAACTAAATTTATGTGAAACAAACTGATGAAGAATATATATTTATTCACTGACTGATTCAACATATTATATATTCGTACCATCATGTGTGATGCAAGATAAGCATTTTGTCTTCATAATGTTCTTCCTAGCAGCAACATACATTACAAAGTCCTCTAACCACTGAAAAGATAATACATTAAGCATGATTCATCCTTAAATGAAGACTTTAAAAAGTAACTACCCTAAAATAATCTCATTTTGCAGATATTAATTGGATGTGAGCATAAAATTTTACACCGTCACTTGAAAAAAAAAGTTGAATGCCTAATAATTTCTATATAATCAGATAGAAAAATAGAGGAGAAAACTTTGAAATCATATCCTTTGGGTCAAAGGGATAGTCTAAAAAGTGGCCATCAATTAACTGAGTGGAGTCCCTGGCTACAAATTAGGAATCAGGTGGAGAGCTTTCAAGAAACACTCATTCGCAGGGCTCACCCAAGAATAACTGTAACAAAATCTTTTGAGGTAGGATTCTGGCACTGGTAGGTTTTAAAACTCTCCAGGTGATTTTAAGTACAACCAAAGGTGAGAACCAGTAATTCAACACTGGTCTCAAAATCTTCTCTACCCATTTACTTAATTGCCATCTCATGGTTTTCTTATGCTTCAAATTACTCCATCTGGAATACTTTTGTTGTTGTTGTTAAAATAAACCTTTTTCTGCTACTTTTTTCTTTTTGTCTGAGGAACATCCTGCCATGCACAACTTTTAGCTATGTGAATCAGGATTTTGACATTAGAACAAAAATAAAATACACAATTAGATACCAGACTGATGACCTTAACTCCTAACATAAAAATGTTTTAATTATTCTCACTGATTGATTTTGAGCAAATATTGTAAGTCTGAACTAAGTCATATAAAGAAAACCCCCACACTTATGCAAGAATTTCCTCTGCCACAACCTCAACAGAATTCAAGCTCTGCTTTAATACTCTGTAATGAGGTGCTCACTAACTCTTAGGAACTTCTTTTTTTTTTTTTTTGAGACAGTTCACTCTTGTCACCCAGGCTGGAGTGCAGTGGTGCAATTTTGGCTCACTGCAACCTCCGCCTCCCAAGTTCAAGCGATTCTCTTGTCTCAGCCTCCTAAGTAGCTGGGATTACTGGTGCCCGCCACCGTGCCCAGCTAATTTGTGTACTTTTAGTAGAGACTGGGTTTTGCCATATTGGCCAGGCTGGTCTCGAACTCCTGATCTCAGGTGATCCAGCCGCCTGGGCCTCCCAAAGTGCTGGGATTACAGGCGTGACCCAATACGCCTGGCCAGGAACCTATTTCTATTACACTGCATAAACAGTTAAAAAAAACTTCCCCTTGTTGATGCACAAGCTGTTTCTCTATACTTGCAAATTGCTCATCCAAGATTCACCAATAAAGTGTCATAAAACTAATTATTTGATGTATCAGATTTCCAAATATTTGGAGAGTTACCTTATTTCATTTGATCTTTTCTAAGCATCCCTAGTTCATTCTACCATGTAAACCTTAAGCTAATATATTTTGCAAAAAGCATGTACTCAATAAGTGATACTAATACAACATTATTTGAAAAAACTAAACTTTGTGAATTTGTATAATAGATATTAAATGGAAAGTAAATGAAATCAATACTGCCATCTCTATAAAGGAGACTATATTTATTTTAAACCTGGAAATACTCTGCATTAAGACAGTCTTGGTTCTGGCTGAATCTAAATCCTGATGGTTTTGCTATGCTATGTCTCAATTCTTTCTAGAAACAAAAAGCAAATTTCTTTTCTAAATTTTAATTTAACTTATTTTTTTTTTCTTCTGAGACAGAGTCTTGCTCTGTGTCCCAGGCTGGAATGCAGTGGCACAATCTCAGCTCACTGCAACCTCTGCCTCCCGGGTTCAAGCGACTCTCATGCCTCAGCCTCCCGAATAGCTGGGGTTATAGGAGCATGCCACCACATCCAGCCTAATTATAAATTTAGGTTCAGGGAGTACATGTGTAGATTTGTTGCAAGGGTAGAACAAGAGCAAGCATTGCTAACAAGAAGTGAAGTCCAGGGCAAGGTTGTCAAAACTGGACTATCCAAAATAAATTATTACAGCGCAAGTACATGAGAAATAGTAATGGGGGATATTTTCTTAATCTAGTAACTGCTATCTTAAAAAATCAAATTAATTTGAAATTATCAGTGTAATAAATTAAATTTTTATTTCTCTGACCTAAGACTAACAAGCATAAGTCAAACATGTTAGATGTCAATAAAAACCATGATGTACCAGAACATTTGTTTGTAGTGATTACTTAGGAAATGAACAAATTTTTAACACTTATCAATAATATTTGAACATATTCCATTAACCAGAAGCACTGTGTGACTTTTCACTAACACTTATTTCTAAGTTACTAAATACTACTGCTGTATTCTACAGTCTCAGAGACAACAGCATACTTAGGGCAATTTTCTGAGTTTTTTAATGAAGTGCTAATTTTAGCCTGCAATAGAAATCAAATTGGCAAGAGCCAAATAAATACAAGCTGCTTTAAAATGAACATGCATTACAGTGAGATTCAACAGGAAATTGCTGTTTAAAAACAAGCTATGCTTTCATATCAAACTAAACTCACAAATACATAGACATTTTCAATGAGAGATTTACTGTCTCCTTTTAACCTACAATTTTTTTAAAAGTAGCATTCTTTCTGTGTTATTTCTTTCTGTGGGCCTGCACAATAATAATCCTCATTAATAACAAAATACTTTCTAAGAGCCAATGGGATGTTCAAACATCATTCAATCCTATGCCCTAGAAAATCTTTAAGGAAGCTTCTTTTCTTCTTTTTAATTTGCACTCAAGAAAAAAAGTAAAAAGCAAGTTTGAAGACTCTTAAATGTTTAATGTCTTATAAATGACACACATTTCATGACTTCAGTTATGTTATCTTAAATATTTCGGTGTTCCCTTAAATAAAAAAGCAAGATGTCATAACTCTTCAGAATTAAATTTAAAAGTTGAACTCGTACAAAATATATTATTGGAGAAACTGATTTCAATATCTTATTTCAAAGGAAGATAAAAAGGTATCACTGATGTATCATGGAACATTTACTTACTCTCATACTCAACTTCAGGTTCCCCTAATCCAGGAAGCCTGGTGGCTACATTAACGTCATTTGGTGCTTGGAATGTATCCATAATGTCAGATGCCCCAGATATACCACCAATGGTTGTTTCCAATAAGTCTGGACTAGCCAGCAAATCAATATTTAGAGGAATGCTGGAATGGAAATAGAAAATATACTTAGACCAAGAAATTTAACATGAAGAATTTAAAACACTGCTCACCCTCTGTATCTGCAAGTTCCACCATATCTGTGAATTCAAGCAACCATGAATCAAAAACAATCAAAAGAAAACAAAACCAAAAAATTTTTAAAAACACATAAAAAATATAGTTTAACAACTATTTACATAGCATTTACACTGTAATAGGTTTTCTACATAATCCAGAGATGATTTAAAGTATATGGGAAGATGTGTGCAGGTTACATGCAAACATGACACCATTTCTCAGACTTGAGCATCTGAGAATTCTGTTACCCCAGGGAGGTCCTGGAATCTATTCTCCATGGATACTGAGGGACTATACTAACAAAGTCTTTGTTGAAAAAAGATTCATGAAAAAGTTTTTGTCTCAACTGGCTTTATTCATCTCTCACAACCCTTTGGGTAGACTTCTCCTCCCAGCCAAAATGGAGTAAAAGGGACTGGTTTAGCCTCCCACCTGAAAACCTAAGGGAGAAAAATAACCTTAATAAGTAAGGTTGAATGAATAACCTAAATAAATAAGTTCCACAAAGTTGCAGGATACAAGATCAATATAAGAAAACTCAATTGTATATCTATACATGAGCAATAATAGGAAACTGAAATTATGAAGACAATTTCATTCATAGTAACATCAAAAGGAATAAATTTAATAAAGGATATGTATGACTTATACACTGAAAATCATTTATAAAGGAGATCTAAATAAATAGAAAGACTTTTAATGTTAACATATTGGAACACTTAATATTCAAGATGGCTTCTCCCCAAATCTGTAAATTCAATGTATTCACTATCAAAATCCCAGCAATTATTTTTTTATAGAATTAACCAGCCAATCCTAAGATTTATGAAAGTCAAAGCAGCTAGAATAGCGAAAACAATTTCAAAAATGAATGTACACTATCGAATTTGAGTACTATAATGCAACAGTAATCAAGACAGGGTGATACTGGCACAAACACAGGCAGGTAAATCAACAACAGAATTGAGAGTCTATATTATAGAATATAAGGAACTTTTGATGATATAAGACTTTTTGACAAGATAAATCAACAGAAGACAGACTTTTTAACAAATGGTACTAGGACAACCAGATACCCACATGAAAAAATATTAATTTAGACCATATCTCACACTACACACACAAATTAAATCAAAATGGATAAGAGACCTAAGAGTTAACTGTAAAACTTGAGAACAAAATATAGAAGAAAAAAATCTTTGTGACTTTGGGTGAAGTATTCTTAGATATGACACCAAAAGTATCGATAAAAGAAAAACTTAAAATGAACTTCACAACTAAAAATGTTTCCGCGTCAAAGAATCTCAGCACTTGAAGACTATCTTTCTGAAGTAAGACAGGTAGGCAAGAATAGAAGGGGAAAAAGAAAAGGAATGAACAAAACCTCCAAGAAATACAGGATTATTTAAAGAGACCAAACCTATGACAGATTGAGGTACCTGAAAAGAGACAGGGAGAACAGGACCAAGTTAGCAAAAACAAACATCAGGATATATCCAGGACAACTTCTCCAACCTAGCAAAGCAGGCCAAAATCAAATTCAAGAAATGCAGAGAATCCCTGTAAGATACTCCACAAGAAGATCAACCGCAAGACACAATAATCAGACTCTCCAAGGTTGAAATGAAAGAAAAAAATGTTAAGAGTAGCCAGAAAGAAAGTCTAGGTCATCCACAAAAGGAAGCCCATCAGTCTAACAGCAGACGTCTCCACGGAAACCCTAAGTCAGAAGAGACTGAGAGCCAATATTCAACTTTCTCTAAAAAAAGAATCTTCAACCCAGATTTTCATACCAAACAACCTAAGCTTCTTAAGAGAAGAAGAAATAAGATCCTTTTCAGATGAGCAAATGCTCAGGGAATTTGTCATCACCAGGCCTGCCCTGCAAGAGCTACTGAAGGAGGCACTAAATATGGAAAGGAAAAGCAATTACCAGACACTGCAAAAACACACTGAAGTACACAGGCCAATGACCCTCGGAGGCAACCACATAAACAAGTCTGCAAAATAACCAGCTAGCATCTAGTTATTTTGATGACAGAATCCTTTGATAACAGGATCAAATTCACACATAACAATACTCAAATGTAAATGGGCTAAATGCCCCAATTAAAAGACACAGAATTTCAAGGTGAATGAGACTCATTGATATGTTGTCATCATGAGACTCATTTCATGTGCAAAGATACACATAGGCTCAAAATAAAAAGATGGAAGAAAATTCACCAAGCAAATGGAAAACAGAAAAAAGCAGGAATTGCAATCCTGTTTTCTGGCAAAAAAAGACCTTAAACCAACAAAGATCAAAAAAGACAAAGGACATTACGTAACAGTACAGAGTTCATAAAAAAGAACTAACTATCCTATATATATGCACCCAATACAGGAACACCTAGATTCATAAAACAAGTTCTTAGAGACCTACAAAGAGACACAGACTCCCACACAATAATAGTAGAAGACTCTAAAATCCCAATGACAATATTAGATCACTGAGACAGAAAATTAACAAAGATACTCAGGATCTGAACTCAGCTTTGGATTAAGCAGACCTGATACATAAATACATAATTCTCTATCCAAAAGCAACAGAATATATACTTTTCTCATCGTCACACAGTACCTACTCTAAAATCGATCACATAATCAGAGGTAAAACACTTCTCAAGAAATGTAAAATAATTGAAATCGCAAGTCTCTCAGACAACACAATCAAATTACAACTCAAAACTAAGAAATTCACTCAAAACCACACAACTACATGGAAATTGAACAATCTGTTCCTGAAAGACTCATGGGAAAATAAAATTAAGGCAGAAATCAAGAAGTTTTTTGAAATCAATGAGAACAGGCAACATACCAGAATCTCTGGACCACAGCTAAAGCAGTGTTAATAGGGAAATTTATACCACCAAATACCCACATCAAAAAGCTAGAAAGATCTCAAGTTAACAACCTAACATCATAACTAAATGAACTAGAAAACCAAGAGCAAGCAAACCCCAAAGCTAGCAGAAAACAAGAAATACTCAAGATAAGAACTGAACTGAAGGAGATAGAGATATATACCAAAAAATCCTTCAAAAAAAAAAAAAAATCAATGTATCTAGGAGGTGGTTTTTTGAAAAAAATTAACAAAATAGACTGTTAGCTAGACTAATGAAGACAAGAATCAAATAAACACAAACAGAAATGATAAGGGAGATATCATCACTGACTCCACAGAAATACAAACAACCATCAGAGAATACTATAAATACCTCTATGCAAATACACTAGAAAAGCTAGAAGAAATTGATACATTCCTTGACATATACACCCTCCAAAGCCTGAACCAAGAAGAAGGGGAATCCCTGAATAGACAAATTAACAAGTTCTGAAACTGAGGCAGTAATAAACAGCCTGCTAACAAAACAAAACAAAACAAAACAAAAACAAAAAACAAGTCCAGGATCTGATGGATTCACAGCAGAATTCTACCAGAGGTGCAAAGAAGAGCTGGTACCATTTCTACTGAAACTATCTGAAAATACTGAAAAGGAGGGACTCCTCCCTAACTCATTCTATGAGGCAAGCATCATATTAATATCAAAACCTGGCAGAGATACAACAAAAAAAGTTTTCTTCAGGTCGATATACTTGATGAACACTGATGCAAAAAAGAAAAACTCAGTAATACTGGCAAACTGAATCCAGCAGCACATCAAAAAGTTTATCCACTACAATCAAGTTGCCTTCATCCCCAGGATGCGAAGTTGGTTCAAAATATACACATCAATAAATGTGATTCATCACATAAACAGAACTAGAGGCAAAAAACACAATTATCTCAATAGACGCAGAAAAGGCTTTCAATAAAATTCAACATCTCTTCATGTTAAAAACGCTCAATAAACTAGGTACTGAAAGAACATACCTCAAAATAATAAGAGCCATTTTTGACAAACTCACAGCCGATAGACTGAATGGGCAAAAGCTGGAAGTACTCCCTTTAAAAACTGCCACATGGGTGTGATGTCACGTGCCTGTACTCCTAGCTACTCAGGAGGCTGAGGCAGGAGAATCGCTTGAACCTAGGAGGCAGAGGTTGCAGTGGGCCAGGATTGCGCAGCTGCACTCCCCACTAGGTGACAGAGTGAGGCTCTGTCTAAAAAAAAAAAAAATCAGCACAAGTTAAGGATACCCTCTTTCACCACTCCTATTCAACATAGTACTGGAAGTTCTAGCCAGGGAAATCATGCAAGAGAAAGAAAGAAAGGGTATTCAAATAGGGAGACAGGAAGTCAAATTATCTTTGTTTGCAGATGACATCTCCTGCATCTAAAAACTCCATGTCTCAGCTCAAAAGCTTCTTAAGTTGATAAGCAACTTCAGCAAAGTCTCAGGATATGAAATGTGCAAAAAATCACTAGCATTCCTACATACCAACAACAGGTAAGCAGAGAACCAAATCTTAAGTCCTATTCACAACTGCTACAAAAAGAATAAAACACCTAGGAATACAGCTAACAAGACATGTGAAGGACCTCTTGGTCTTTCAAGACGTGGAAAGACAACTACAAACCACTGCTCAAAGAAATCAGAGAGATCACAGACAAATGGGAAAACATTCCATGCTCACGAATGGAAAGAAGTGGGATCACGAAAATGGCCACATTGCCCAAAGTAACTTGTAGATTCAATGCTATTACCATTAAACTACCATTGACATCATTCACAGAATTAGAAAAAAACTACTTTAAAATCTGAATGGAACCAAAAAAGAGCTGAAATAGCCAAGACAATCCTAAGCAAAAAGAACAAAGCTGGAGGCATCATGCTACTCAACTTCAAACTATACTACAGTATAGGTTACAGGAATCAAAACAGCATGGTACTGGTGCAAGAACAGACATATAAGACCAATAGAACAGAAAAGGGAAATC